CGTCTTCGGTTATACAATGCACAGAACACAAAAGAGATTAGAAGGGTGATCATAGACCGTTAATACGGGAACCGATGTCGGCGGTCATCGGCCGAACTCGCCCCCACTACACTTCCATCAAATAGATAATAGCTAATCAAAAGATGTGACATCAAAAAATCGAACCAATCAGCACTCACAGCTGAAACCAACGACTCCATCAGAACCAAGTTTTGGTCAAGTTATGAGCTAAAGTCTTTTCTAACTTCTTTCTTTGTTCTGTGATACTATGTGATGATATTTATCAGTCTGTTTCCCTTGTACCCTCGACGCTCTTCCACACCTGTGCTAGGGAGTGACGCCATTAATACACGTCTTTGGTTATACAATGCACAGAACACAAAAGAGTTTAGAAGGGTGATCATAGACCGTTAATACGGGAACCGATGTCGGCGGTCATCGGCCGAACTCGCCACTACACTTCCATCAAATAGATAATAGCTAATCAAAAGATGTGACATCAAAAAATCGAACCAATCAGCACTCACTGCTGAAACCAACGACTCCATCAGAACCAAGTTTTGGTCAAGTTATGAGCTAAAGTCTTTTCTAACTTCTTTCTTTGTTCTGTGATACTATGTGATGATATTTATCAGTCTGTTTCCCTTGCACCCTCGACGCTCTTCCACACCCATGCGTGGGCGTGACTCCATTTATACACGTATTAATTGCAACCATTCAAGTTGTGCAACATTTGAATGTGTAAACGTTGTTGGTTAGTACGTAACTGGAGCGAGCGCACACGACAATATGCAATTTAAATACTATCTTGTAATAAATTCGAATGGGCGGTATTCACGCTTCTCTGGCTGTCTGTATGTCACACAAATTACAAAAGTGTAACGCCAAAGATTAGTTATATGGCAACAAAACAGAACAGACGCGAATGATCGGAGGTAGCTGTTAGTTTTAATAATTTTAAAGAGCTGTAAGAGTAATTTATTTTATAACATATTTGCTCGTAAAGCATCTCTTATTGCACCAATTTCAATATCATAATCTTTCACATTACACACGCGTGCGGTGATGTACGGTATGTCAGAAAGATAGCCAACATTTTCTTAATAAAATTAACATTGGGAGATAAAAATATGATGTATAAACATTTAATTCTTTAATTTGATTCATTTTGACAATAAATTACAACCATGTATCGGTAACAAATTCACAAAAATATTAATTTACTGTATTAGTAAGACTGGCTGTTTTTTGTTCCTTTGCCTAAAAAAAGCGTTGATGCGCGCGCATCGCTAATTTGTGAAAAAGTTATTCCTTTTTCTTTTCGCTGTATTGTTTTTATTTGAAAGCATTGTATTGCATCAGTAAGTAGTAACGAATTTATTAATTTGACACCGCCAGAAGTCGAAAAAGGCTACGCTAAGCCTCTTGCCCGAAAAATCCACGGATAGATACTTACAGTCAAGCGTATCATAATTTCATTAATCATAATAATCATAATCAAAATTATTTATTCAGTTTAGGCTGTTACAAGCACATATGAATGTCTAGAAGCTACGCCATCGGTTCGTAAATCTACGGCGGGAGACCTTGTACTGAGAAGAACCGGCAAGAAACTCAGCAAGGGCTGTTTTTTTCTCCCTGTTTTATTATTTACAGAGTCGTCAAATTGAAAAATGACTTCAGAGGTGATTCATGAAGTCACTTTTGATTACATAATTATTAAATATACATTAATTGTTTACCTGCATTTTGATTGCTGTGTCATACAGTATAAATACAAATAGTGTTATTTATATTCAGTGTGACTAAACATTAACTTCAATATTAAGGAAGTTAGGGCAGACTCATCTCCGCTGGCAGCACCCGTTCACGAGCATGACGCATGAACCAGCCATCGCTTCGCTCAACCATATTTTAGGGAACGTAACGACCCGCCTCACACGACACCGCCGAATGGAATTTATAATGGAAAACAAACAAAGGTGCAAATTCGTTTTCAGAAAGTACGTACGTAGGTAGTATTATTTCCTCGCAAATGTGTTATAAAACGTCGTATGACATACGTGCGGTTTGATATAATTACAGCCTCTGCTTTCTTATATACCGCCTCGGCTGTAATTCTCAACTTACCGCACTTATATCATAATGTACTATTAAAGTTTATTTGTAGTTCTATTACATGTTGTGTTTGATTTGAGGCTTTTTTGTCTTTCCTTATGTAAATTGTAGTAGTAAGTTTTTAAATAAAACTAGTTTTTACGGGTTAATGCACGAAACGAAAAGTTTCGTGCATTAACCCGTAAAAACTAGTTTTATTTAATGAGTGCTGTGCGTGAAAACCTAAGAAACAAATATAGTAAGTTTTTGTTTGTAGTCTTATGTAACTTTGATATTGCATCAGATGCGCGTTGTTAATTTTTTTTTTATATATATTCTTATTTTATTTAGGTAGGCAAATGACTCTACCCCACCTGATGTCAAGTGGTGATAAAGTCCAATCGCGTAGATAGCTGGTACAGCAGTTATAAACTGCCACACCAACCATCGTCACCTTGCGGGCCTGCAAAAATGCTTCTTCACGCCTCTTAAAGGAGCCCAGATCGTAGGAAGGAGAGAACGCGCGCGGGCAAAGAATTCCACTTACGAATAGACAAAGAAATGAATCACCAAATTTCTTTGTTAGTGTAGGAATAGTGACTATTATAGTATTTATGTCCTGTAGAAAATTTGCTATGCCCTTTGCCTCTACAAAAAAGAACTCTTTTATTTTTAAACTGACAAATAAATCTCCTTTTTCTTTACTTGTTCCCGTCTGAAGTTTATAGTTTAACTAGTGGCCCGCCCTCGCTTCGCTTCGGTGTAGAGCTGAAGTGTAGACTATAGTTTTTGTTCTCAGGCTTGTATTATACACAATGACATTCTTCTTATACCTAATTACAATAGGCACGCGCCGCCAGGCCCCCCGCCCGGTAACGTCGTTGGAACCGCTATGTCCCTGCATTTTAAAATCTGTAATATCTTCGAAAATATTCATTTAAATTACATGCTTTAAAGGGCCAAATTGATCTGTATTAAATACACATTGTATTTAAGGTACTTAATTGGTTAAGGATGAATGTTATATTGCTGAAAATCGCTTCGTAAATAAGCTATTATTTCGCGTTAAAAGTTTAGAATAAAATATAGTTATTGTGGGTTATACCATCGCGGACTTTTTCGTAGACCTTTTTAAAGTGTACAATACTGTAGTACATTATTTTGATCTATCACGTAGAGTTCAGCCAGCGTTTGTAATGTAAGCGCAAAAAATGTGTTTATTTACGACCTTACATTAAAAACCTCTAAAATTACCAGTGTTTCTCTACTATATTATGCATGTATTATACATATAAACCTTCCTCTTGAATCACTCTATCTATTTAAAAAACTGCATCAAAATCAGTTGCGTAGTTTTAAAGATCTAAGCATCCCATAGGGACATAGGGACAGACAGCGGAAAGCCACTTTGCTTTATACTATGTAGTGATAATTATTAAAAAAGTGCAATAAACCTATTTGTAAAATAGCGCTTGTAATTAAGTCCCTTTTTTCCAAAATTCCCACGGGAATAAGCGTACATTTAGAACGAAGAAGTATCCAGAAGTTATTTTTGTATTCAACAACTTACACTTGTCTATCCTCATACAGAAACATTAAATGCATCGTAAAACCACTTTTTTATGCCATTTCATAGTAACCATTGTTCTTTGAGAGCTTGAATCATAAAAAAGAGCAGATTTACATCTGTGAACTAACTAACACTGATTTTATCTTCTACAATCGTCGTTTAGATATTTCATGTTTGACCGAAATACCACAGTGGAATTTGGATAAACAGTAAACAAACTTTCTTGTTGTCCTTTATCGGCCACATTGTATATAAATTATGTTGATAAGATGATTTCCATACTTAAGGAAAGAACGATTCGAAAGAATTTTTAAGTTTATTTTAATTTCATTCTCGCCAGCTTACAATTTATGTTGTTCAGTAAGTTATGCAAGGAGCTCGATGGCGCGGGCGGTTAGCGCGTTCGGCTGCGATCGTTGAAGTTAAGCAACTTGCGCAGTGGTCGGTTATCAGATGGGTGACCAAAAATCTTTTATCTCGAGTTCCTCCGTGCTTAAGGCACGTTAAGCCGTTGGTCCCGGCTGCATCTGCAGTTGTTAGCATCCGCCAATCCGCACTGATGATGATGAGTAAGTTATGTGATCAATGACGATCTTGTGTGTGCAGTTAAATTGTTGACAAAGGCGAGTGCTGTGATATGAAAAAGTCATTATTTGCTAAAAGCTATAGAACATGTTACGGCCTTGGGATAACGTAGATTGTTAAGTTCTTCAATCAAAAAAATCGTAGAACACGGAAATTGTCATAGCATTGACAACACTGCCCTGTACCCTTAGTACGAGTTATGTTTCTATGTCCATTTTGGTGAAAAGTAACCATATTTGGTTACTAAGAATATTTTCTTAAAATTCAGAAGACGCAAACGATTTAATGATAGAATTTAAACACTGTTTATTTGTATTGAAACGAAAACAATAAAATCAGAACCTTTAGTAAGAGTGCGAGCTCACGAAAACTATCATACTTTTCGTAATTGTAAAACTCTAAAGGGTACTGGATATTTTATACTGACTATCTGTTTATACTGGCAACAATGGCGTAGTTAACACGGTTATATCAGAGACAGTTAGGAAATTACTATACGACGGTGTTGATAACAAGTTTCGTTTGTTCCACATTTTAATAGCTTTATAGAAAATGAAATTTTCCAATTAAAGTGGTAATAAAATAATAGATTTATACTGCTAATAAATTCGGCAGGTTAATGTGCCCTATTGAATTAGCAATCATGACATTCTCAATCTTAGTAAATATTTATACTAACTTAGAATTAAGCCTGATTTCATAAAATTCATTGACTGTACTAAAACTACAATGTTTTTCATTGTTCCAGGACTTAATACCAACACAAGACACCGAATCCTACTTACTGAAGACTCAAAACGCTATCACCAATCTACAAGCCAAACTACAATCCTCTAGGACCAATAACTTCAGCAACATTCCCTCCCAACTCACCTCGAGTCTTATCAGCGAGAAAACTGCAATTTCCCGGCTCCCGATCTCGCAGCTGTCTCGCTCCAACTCGCTCAATTACCGCCTCAGAAGGAAAGAGAGCTCCGGTGACAGCAGCCCTCTAAGAAGTCCAGGTCATTACGTCATCACTGGCTCAATGAAACTACCGGAAACCACTAAAATACTACTAAACTCCGCCTCGAGGTCTTTGGACACCGACCGGCGGAAAGGTCGCGATTCCAACATGAACAGTCCGTCCTCGGAAAGAGGTTTGTTGAGTAACAGTTCGGAAGACAAAACACTGTCTAACAGGCCTCAATACGACGTTGACGCAATCCTATCGCCGCACAGGAAAGCACATGTCAGGCACAAATCGTTCGAAGGCAGAAATCAGAACGATTTCTCCGCGAACGACGTGAGTAACGCCAATCAAACAGTCTGTCTCAAAACTGTACTTAAGAACAACGCTTTGGAGACGGTGTACCCAAGAATCGACCAAACCCGTTGCCTGGATACCAAAAAACACCAAAGAGTCTTCAGTGATGGCAACAAGCAGTTCAAACCGCAAACCGCTTTCGGTACGTCCATTAAAAGGTCTAGTTCTTTCAGTACGGTAAATAAGAATAACAATTATCTAGAACCAATTAGAATAAATAGAAGACAGAGCAATCATTCGGAGGAGTACAAAGACGATTATTTATCAGATGAATCGGATAATGCGTCGTTCGATAAAACTCAAGATCTGAGGTACAAGAGGGTGGTTAACAGAGGTAGAATTGATTCTCCGGATTTGAAATCGATAGCGCCAGCTAACTCGCCGAGATGTCCGAACACGCCGGAGATGCAGAGGAAATTTGGGCCTGGGTTGGTAAGGAATTCGGTTAGAGTGACGAATAAAGAGAGAGCTGTGAACACCAGGTTGTCGGAACCACCAATGGCTAAAGACGAGAGGACGAGGCCCACTAGTCACCAGAGTAGAAGAATATCGGAGCCGACGAGGCAAGCTGTGTTGAACAGGCTCACAAAGTCAAGGTCTTCGACGCGAGAACTGCAACCAAAGTGCCAGGAAAAAGGTAAGTCTCTTAAATATCATACTTTTCGAAACGCGATTTTCAAAAGCTTTTATGTTTAACTTGCAATGTATGTACAGGGTGTAAAAAAACCTATGACAAAGACTTAAACTACGCATTCTGTACACCCAAACAAGTCATATTACAAACTATTATAGGGGGGCGAAATTTGTACGGCGCGCTACTGTGGCACTACGCAAAGAATGTGCCTGTGTGTGCGTGTGTGTAAGTGCGTCGATAAAAAAGTTTCAAAATAACGTTTTAAAAATATTAATGTATAAAACATGAAAAAAATGTTTTGGCTTTGACCTTCAATATCTCCATAACCATAAATTTCGCTGGTATGGTCCAGAAGAAAAAAATGATCGTCATGATGTGGAAAATACATAGCTTTCGACTTCGTTATAGGTTTCTTTACACCTGTATTTATGTTTGTTAGGGTCAAATCTTGCAACTGAATTTTAAAGCAGATATCCTCAATCGATTGCGATGAAAGGGAATTGTTCAGTTTACTAGGGTGCTTTGGCTTAAACTGAACCTATAGTATCAAAAAATGGCATTTTGTATTCTTTGTATTGTTAAGAAAGTAATTATAGCAATATAATTGCCGGAAAGCTTATTGATATGTCTAAATGAGCAAGTATAATATTCCTTTAAAAAGTTGCAAATGTTACCGAATTTATTTCTATATTGATCTGGAACGAAATTATTTTTGCTTAAATTATGTAATTATGATATCATAGTAAATGACCAACCATTCTTTTGATTATTTTTAATATCTTTATTATTTCTAAGGTACTTAATGTTACAATATAAATGAACACAAATAAAACAGCAATTTAGTTTTTTAATTTTATTCTGTATCATTATCATAGGTAATTAAAACATTATCTAAAAACTGGGCTGGTGGCCTAATATTATTTTCATGCCTTGCCCAGCTTAAATACCATATGATGGTCATCACATGAGCACAGCAACCAACCGTTCTTCGTCCTACAAGGCAATTACAATAATATTGAATTATAGAAGATCTGCCTTGTAGATTATTATTGTACAAAATATATACAAAATATATTTTTCGGCTAATGTGTCTGCTTTGAATTTTTCCTCTTAATAATGTGCAATTATCTATTGATGGTATACCCTCTAAGAGGTTACTGGCTCTCTCCGCACATACTTCTATGGTATACGAACCATCATTCCTGATATGCTCCCCATAATAAGATCTCGCTTGTTTCAACTGGTATGTTCCACAGCTAAATAAAATCAAGTCACTGTAAGTCATTCTTGGGAATGGTACATTATTTATGTTTACATTTATGGTAGAAAACTGTGCTCTTCTTCTATTTAAATTATTTTGTGTGACATAATCTGCTAGGGTATTACTCATGTACATTCTTTCAATTAGAATATTAAGGATTTGACCTGCATCTTCTCTATTCGTAACTCTTAGGTGAAACTTGTTTATTAATCCGGCAGCCATCTTAAAATCTAACATTGCATGCTTAGATGCCAAGTTAAAAAAATCTTGTCTAAATAATTTGAAAGAATGCTTAAAAATTCCATTTACCACATCTACTACCCACCTACATATTATTACAGTTCTAGATTTATTGGCTGCCAATGTCGACAACTGAGTTTCACCTTGTTGTAGAGAGGCAGGCATATGTACAGAATAATTGCACCTATGTAACAAAGGAACACAGTCTCTAAAACCCCTATCCAGAATAAAAACATCTCCAGCCTGAAAATACTGCCTCATTGTATTGTTTTCATTCTCAAATTCCTTCAACATGATAGTGGCATCGGATGTTGTTGCTGGATAGGGACCTAACACATCTATAATGTATCCATCAGAGCATACCATTAAGAATGGCTTCATTAAATTCCTATATTTGTGCAAAGAGTAAGTGTTTTTTTGGTAAAGATAATTCGAACTTTTTTGTAAGTATAAATATGTGCCATCAATTAGAATGATTGGTTTTCGGTCTTCCCCTCCAAATAGACCATTAGGTATAATTAGATTTCTATCTGATATTTCAGACCTGCTAATATGATGAATTCCTAAATTCCGTGGAATGAATTCCTCATTTAATATTTCTCGCGCTGTACCCAGAAGTTTGGTTAATGATGAACGGGGTATATTCAACAATGTAGAAATTCTTTCATCACTATCCCCAGTTCTAAGTTTAATTAGATATCCAATCAGAGCTAGCTCCCCATTACACATTCCACATAACCTAGGGAGATCTACTTTTATTTGAGCAAACTGTTGTTTAGACAGCCCTAACCAGAAATGGACCATATCTTCAGACAAGCCATCTATATTATTGAAATCTATTGTTTGATTTCTTTCTTTAATAAATGATGCAAAATCTTGAATGTGTTCAGCAGTAAATTCATGGTTCGGTTGCATGTTGGACAAACATTCAGCCCAATCATTATTATGTAGGTGAAAAGTACATATTCTATTGTTTTTTGGTATACAAAAATTAAAATCAATAAACAACTTCACCCTGAGCCATGTAGGAATAGTCAGTCTCTGTGGTGAGTCACAATCTGGGCAAAAACAATGTGCTTGTGTATCGGGTGCTCTTGTATAGTTCGGTAAGTTAATTGAATTTATTGGCTCTGGTATATTTGCCCGCACTGGTACTCTATCTGCCCGCTGCCAACATGGATGACAGATGCGATCTGATCCTCGAACCTAAAACAATTTCACTCCTTAATTATAATACACATTTACACATAGAAAATTTATTATAATAGTAATAAATACACCAGAACAACTCAATAATTTAATGATTATTTAGTCCTAAACCAAGATAGCTTGTATTATTTAGTGTACACTATACATTTGTAGTTGTCTACTAAATAATAACATAAAATATACATTTAAGTATAGGATACATAAATAACAACCTGACTCAGGAAAAAATGCTTGTGTTCATTTCAGGAACACTTTATTATTAGCGAAGGACTGGTAGTGTACCAAATACCATCTTTGTTAGTTATTTATTTTACTGTTAGTGTTTTAAGTTTAACTAGCCACCCATCCCGCTTTGTACAGATAGTACTGAGTACTTAATAACCTTACTCTTGAAGCACTTTATCACTTTTGGTATTGCTGATAACCGCATTGAAATCCATTGCATAGTTCAAAAGTTTTAAGCGCACATATATAATTAGCGACATCATTTTATACCATATAGACAAAGAGATATACTATTAAGTAACTAATAATTAACAAATAAAAGTGTGTCTGATCTTACCTGTCGTGGCGATATCCATTCACTAATTACATTTCTTATATGTAATTCTCTTTCTGATGTTGATTGCAGAAGATGTGATCTAATACGTAGTATAGATCGTCCACAATTAACACAAAGTTGCCGACTATGACCACTGCTTGTGCTTGGTATATCTTCTTGAAGTGGTGTGGTGTTCAAAGCCAACATCCAACAAGTATAGCAAACCAAGTCATGGGATGTTACCTGCAAAATCATGGGTTGTTTAGTTATATAATTATAGAACAATAATTATCATAATAAATCAAACATTATGTGGCTCACAATGAACTAACAATATTTCTCGTTCGTTAATTGACGAATTGTAGGTATATTCAACAATAAAAAATATGCTTACGGTTTGTGGAGCGGTCCACTGACGTATTACTGAAAGAACTTCAATCAGCTCTAGACTGCGTCTCCTGCGTTGCAAAAGATCGACGCCACAATTGATGCATCGCATATGTTCCTCATTCTCACTCGAGGGAATGAGATTCGGAGGAGAGTCCAAGTTGATGCCTAGGTTGTCATTTGTAGCTGATTCAGAGTCCAAAGTAGCGCCATGGTCAACGTCAGAAGCAGGTTCGGTGTCCAAGGGTAAAGCCGGGTATTCATTTCGAGTGAAATCGGAGTCCATTATAAAAGCAAGTCGGTTTTACAGAAAAAGAGAGTCGAAAGTAGCGTTCACAGTACACGTAGGAAAAGCGAATATTTTTTTTAGAAGTGTCATACATGAACGTTGACAGGTTATGGTGTTGTCATATAAAAAAAAATTAAATCGATCAGGAATAATCGTTTTCTTTATAATTTGTAATATAAAGAATTTTCACTAAAACATCGTGTTTTGCAAGTTTTAGTCTAATTAAAGGTAAATAATTAATGAATTTTTATATGATTACTTGATACCATGTCTTGACGGAATATATTTTATTTTTATAATAGGCCATTCCTAATCGATTTCTTATTAGCGAATAAAGATTTTTATTACTTATTTAATGCTAAAGCAACACAGGATGCAATGGTGTCTTTTTCCTTCTAAAAATACTATTAAAATTATTAAAAATGTACATTTACTTTCCGGCAAAGAGAGTTTCAAAAATATTTTAAGTATATTTAATTATAGTTTGCTGTAAAAATATTTTTTAGGAAACATCTTGTTCACGCGAAGCCGCTACGGAACAATTCCCTTTAGAACACTTTGGATATCAAAACATGGTTAGCTGAGCGGCGGACTTGTAATTTTTTTGTGTACTCTTACTCATGACATGGGTAACAAATGAAAGGTTTTGTTGAGAAGAAAACGTAATAAGCTTGTTTATCTATATATATAAAACTCAAAGGTGACTGACTGACATAGTGATCTATCTGACTGACTGACATAGTGGCCGAACCAAACCACTGGACGGATCGGGCTGAAATTTGGCATGCAGGTAGATGTTATGACGTAGGCATCCGCTAAGAAAGAATTTTGATCAATTCTACTCCCAAGGGGATAAAACAGGGAATGAAAGTTTGTATGAAACTTTGTCAATTTTAAACCGATCGGGCTGAGACTTTGCATGCAGGTTTATTCCTGTTTTCTAGGAAGAATCATAGATGAATGTCATTGTGTATAATACAAGCCTGAGAACAAAAACTGTAGTCTACACTTCAGCTCTACACCGAAGAGAAGCGAGGGCAGGTCGCTAGTTTAAAGTATAAAGTTCTTATTGCCAATGCCAACATTGCTTTTAAACTGAAACTTTAACGAAGTAATCTTAACTTATTTATGTGCAACCAAAGCGAGGTGAATCGATATGGTAGGTCTATTAAATTGCGGAGAGTCGGTCACCCGAGTGGTTATAATGGTGATTTGATTACCGTTTAATTTAATCGGTTAGCGCTAGTAACGCTGTAGGGGTTGTTGCCTTCGTAATTCGTGTAGATATTTAGGTATTTACACTCAATGCTTATATAAATTCGTATGACATTATAACAATTCTCTGGAAGCGACAGAAAAACAGGATAGGGAATGACTCTTTTTTTTCGTTATTAGGTTTTTTTTTAGTTATATTTATATTTTTAAGCATTTAACTGCTACATGTTTGAATCTAAAGACTTCGACTTGGAAGAAATGCCAGAGAAAATTCGACACGGCCATCAGCGCTGCGGTAGCGTAATGGTCAGTACATTCGCCCGAATAGCGAAGGGTGCGGGTTCGAGTCTCGGCTGCTGCTTAGTCCGCGTGGATATTGTTCAAGTTAAATTTTCTTTAAATTAAACACATATTTTCTCTTTATCCACTTAATCAAAATATTACAGAGATATATTGATTCCAAATGTCGCATGACGTCACGTCTTGGTACAATTTTCACAAATATCACAAATAAAGTCACAGCATAAACATTTATTAGTTATTAACATGTTTTCTTAATAAAAAAATTGGAACATCAGTTCCTAAAAGCTAAAATCCGTTAGCTCTATTAGGCACCTCGCGCACTAGACGACAACGGTCACGCACAGTCGAGGATGTGGCCGCAATCTTGGTCGCAGAAAATAAGTTTGCAGACGGCCACTACGACCACGGCTGGCCGTAAAGCAGCCACAGAGCATTAACAGTGTTTAGAGAGAGAAAGAGAGGGGGGGATATTTTATCTCTATATCAAAACTCATTGCAGAAAGAAACCTAGTCGTGTTGAGATGCGGAACGATACGAAGCATATTCACTCACAAACTGTCCACATGACGCTGAGAATGGCTGGTCTGGTTGCGGCCAAGGGGCCATTCGCCTTACAGAAATGCTATGCAAAACGCTAACGCTTACGATTTCATTTTGCTATTTCTACCATGAGCCGCTTGAGTTTTCCAAATTCCTCGCGCTCTTTGTTTTCTTTTGCATTGGTAATAATAATATTAAAAAAAATGAGCGTGAGGTATTGTTAAAAACCTTCGGCGGTCAGAAATAAAAAAATAAAGTGGAAAGCGTTAGCGTTTTCCAAAGCATTTCCCTTAGGCGAATGGCCCCCTGGCCGAATTCGCAAATATAGTGCGCGAGCGCTCATAGCATACGTAAGTTCGCCGCAACGACCAAATCTCACCAACCACCCATGGCCTGACGAACCTTCCTGGTTATGCAGGCCGAAGCAGCGGGAGATACGCGCGGAATGTCCTCCACCGCACGTACTTTCTTGATTCCTCACAAATTATTCATTATCTATCTCCTGTGTCCCTATGGTCCCTCTGTCCTTTCTGGAGTGGACGTACACGAAACGCCTGCGTCGCCATCCCAGCCGTCCCATGCCCACTATGAAGTGGTAACACTAGCCTCCATATTGTATTCTTCTTCCATTGCTCCCTTTCTTCTTTCCTCGCCTCCTTCGGGTCCACTCCGAATCCTGTGCCATCTACGCGCGAAGTACCGTAGCTGCCTGAAGTTTGCCTCCGATCCCATAAGGTCGCGATTGAAGCCGGCCCAGCCTCGAGTACCTTTACCAGTGTGAAGACTTCACTTCTGGACAGTTCCAGAAGTTCCCTACGCGCCTCCCCGTAGAGCTAAACACCCACAGAGCGTGGTATGCGTCCTCTACTTCTCCCTCCCCACAGTAGCACGACCCCACCTCCGTGAGCTTCATTGTGTGAAGCCTGCCCTTGAAACAGCCGTGACCCGTCAGCAGTTGCGAGGTTTCGTAGTCGGGCTCGACGCAAGTATACTTGAGTCGCGTCGTATAAACCCGGTCGGTCAGTTGGCCGTTATGGCCAAGTGCGCGACGTTCATATGGTCGATGCGGCCATGGTCTTGGTCGTGGCAGTCTAGTATGCGAGGTGCCTTACAGTATACTTTGGCAACAAAAATCGGACATGAATTGGAAATAGTTAAATAGAATGATGTCGTGACTGTTTTTTTTATTGGCGATTTTAACATCATTGTTGATTGTAATGAAACATTCGTAATAATGTCAGTCGGTTAGTATGACCGGCCAATCATGTTTAGGACTTCCGCTTTTTTTATCGCCGGCGCCGGTCAAAAAGTGCTCTATGGCGAGTATTTCTCAGTATGTCAAGGTTTCAAAGCATAGACAATCAGCTTTTGTTTTTTTTTTATAACTAACACGATTTGTCGACGGATACAGTATAAAACAGAGAGAGTAGATTTCTGCAATTGTGTTTTTATTTATAGGATTGTTTTTGCAAATAAGTCTGTTTGTGTCGTTTATGTGTTTCTAACAGCATAATGAATAAGTTTTTACAGTATGAGCTGATAACATCGACCATGGGAAGTAACTGGAAAAAGTTGAACATTCAAAGCGAGAATTGCGACAGTCGATTGAATGTTTGACATTTATTTGTCCCTAGAAATACATATAAAATTACTAAAGGACAATGGGCAAAACACACCCAGCTCCACCAACAATGTAATTAGTATGAATGGATAGATCTATGAAAAACTAGCCTTTTTTATTATGACACCGTAAAAAAATATCCCGGTAGTCAAAAGATATGACACGTGGGCATATTTAAGTAGCTAAATAAATGAATTTTATAGTACCTTCATTTTACATAGTAACCATAATAATATGCCATATCGTACTATACAACCAGATATACGACAAAGCCTGCCGACCATCCTGAGCTTGCACTTACTGAGCCATCACAAAACGGTTTACGGTGGTTGAAGGACTTGCAGTTGCAAAAAGTCGACTCGGCTTACTTCGTTGTGCGCTACTTGTCACTTGATTGATTTTTATCTAACACGCTTTGGATATTGGAACACGATTATCGGTTCTGTCAGTTAGTATGGATGAACTGGAATCATGTTTTCTCTGAAGCGTGGATAAGTTTGTGTGATTTGTGGTCGCTCCGTTTTACATAGAAGACAATTTACTATAAGGAACAGACTGTTTGAAAAAACTCGACCCATGCGGGCATTTTTGGATTTACTTTAGCGTGGCAGAATAACATAAGGGGTACCCTTGCACCTTGTGAAGTACTCCCATAATACCTGAGCCCTCTATGTACGGTCGAACTAAGAAACAAAATTAATTCCCTTGTTTCATTAATGTTCGTTCGTTATAGTACTAGTACCTATTTAACCTAAATAACTAAAGACCCCCGGGATGAAAATTTGATGCGCTATGGCACAGATGATCATGACTATAATACCTTTCAAACAAATGTAGTTTAAGCCGTGGTGGACGTGGGTGCAGCGTCCATACATTTTTGGCCAATGTTCTTTAAAAATCTAACATGCCAACTTTTTGGGACAAAAAGGGAATGTGACTAAGCCTTAGACGGCCGAAGTGCCGGAAGTCGCTGATGTTCTGCCATAACCTTATTTAACTTATACATGTTTAATTTTGTCGATCGTCATGTTTTTGATGTCGCTGACTCGCCACTACAGTTCCACTTAATAGAAAATAGCCAATCAAACGCCGCGACATCAAACAATCGAACCAATCAGCGCTCACACCCGAGAGCAACGATGCAATCAGAACCAAGTTTTGGTCAAGTTATGAGCATTTGCTCATACATTACTGGGGCGCGCCTACCCCGTCAGCAAAGGTCCGCATTTCGTTTACTATGCGCTACGTAGTTACTACCTTTTTTTGCTTGTGCAATGCGCCCCCCCCTCCCCCCAGGGCAAACCCGCGGCTCGCGCAGTAGTGGGAGAGAGAGCGTAGGTCTCTCCGTCCCTCTCCTGCCCCTCCTTGGCCCTTATAAGGTAGTTACTATCTGAGCCTGAATATATCTTAAGATAAAATAATATGCAAAATCCTCCTTTGTCTTTTTCAGGTCAGAAGAAACCGAGTCAGTACCGGTCTTCGTCAGCGCTAGCCACCAAAGAGGTCGAGTTCTCCAACTGGAAGAAGAGGTCCTCGTATGACCCGATGAAGGCGGCGCAGGAAGGCCGTAGGAGGCAGCAGCAAGCCAAAAGGGTTGACAACAACAAGGATGATCTTAGCTCGCCTAGGTGAGAATATTACTCTCTTAATAAACAATCTTCAAGATAGGTTCTCCAACTGGAAGAAGAGTCCTCTTACGACACCACGAAGGCAGCAGCAGGCTATAATAAGGATCATATGAGAATTTAACTAACTTAAAAAACATCTCAAAGGTGGAGTGTTTTCATTGCGAAAATTGTGTAACTTCCACGATCGCAATCCGTGACTGATCTGATAGACACAAGCCGCACTTTTGAGTTTTTATGGAGGAAAAAAATAAAAACCAATATCTGATAAAAAAAAATTTTTCGCCGTATACAGACATTGATTTCAAAAAAAAATTATTGCAAAACACGCGCCTAAATATATTCTATTAGATCGCACTTATTTCAAATGAATACCTTTGCCGGTTACGCTCCCAGGCTTTATTTTTACGTTTTGAACGTTTTTTTTTCCTGCAGTATTTGAAATAGACACTTGGGTGTCTTTACTCGTACATTTTTTGTGTGATTCTTGATCAACTACAGTGAAAAAAGAAGAGGGAATTGTTTTTTGGCCAAAAAACACTGTGCTCTTTAACTGACTACTATATGACCATCATATGTATCTGTCCACAGCCATTCTTCGCCCGTCCACCGTTCGCAGTCCTTCCACACGACCAACATAGCAGACCTGGAAACCCTGGAGTATTCATCGGAAGATGACCAGCTCACGTTACCCGTTGATCCGATGGTCACTTCAACCCACTCAGACATCCTGGATAGTAGACCAAGAGGTTCTGATATCAAGGAGAGTTTGAGGAGACAAGCCATGACAAACGATGTGGTCTTCTCAAGGGATTATATCACTAATTTCCAGGTAAGATTTGTGATTTTTTTTTTAAAGGTAGGTCCGACTAATGACCCCGCCCCACCTGATGTTAAGTGACGGTGAAGTCCAGGCGTGAAGAAAGCTGGTACAGCAGTTCTACCTGCCCCACTTTGTGGTCAATTCTCTTACTACTGCGAAATCTTTGGCATTATCCGTTAGTATTAGTTATATAGTAACCGTTAAAAAGCGAAGAGTTAAAATTTGGTATGCGCGATACTTTCGGCAGTTTGTAAGCACGCATACCAAGATAATTATAAATGTGACATTAAAACGCGTCAATTAAAAAAAAGATAAGGTTTCCGTGATAATGGATAAATTTTACCCCTTATCACACCATTCAAATAGGTATGCGTGAACTTTCCGGCTAAAAATTATTGGTCGGCCGGATTTTTTTTTGTTGAACATAATATTTCACAGAAAATTCTATATAAGATTGATCAAAATCCGTGATGATGGAAAAAAAATATGGAAATTTAATAATAAATAATTTATTTAAAATATTTCCGGCCAATCAAATCCACGCCGACTCTTGTTCGTCTAAACGTTAACTTTTATTTTTTATTAAAAATATTACAATCCCTGATCACGGAGCTTTCAGGATTGGTGGCTCCTAGCCTATTATTTGTTCGTATAAACTAGCATGTGTTACTTATAGTGTTTAGTGCTAATAAGGGCTACCGTTTTCTGCCTCACCAGATGGCGCCACTGTTGAGTGAGGTCCTAAATTGTAACTTTTAAAGTTCATTAATACGCACATGAAAGCAAAGGTTACATTTAGATCGTATTTTAACACAAAAGAACCATATCCTAAACATAATAGGCCATGCCACAGTGACGCGCAGTTCCGTTTTATTCGGAAAAAATGGGAACATAATCATTTTTCTAAGCTCAAATTTTTAATAACTGACATTCATTGCCACATAACTCATATTTGCCATAATTAAGCCGAATTGTTACCAATTATTCACAACATTATTTTAATTAGAAATAAACCCGCGTAGTCAACCAACAAGCAATAACATTTGACATTTCGGAGACCTCACGCTACACTAGCGCCTCTAGCGGCGGATTCATACGCGATAGCCCTCATTACTTTATAGTGTTTAATAATAATAACTTTATTTGGAACAAGTGTAATTAATTATATATAACTTCCTTCCTCAGGTAAACCAACCCACAGATAAAAAGCGCCGTTCCGAAGCGGACAAGCGTAAGACCTTCATAATGGACGACATAACGCCGACCAGAGAGAACGTAGACTTCCTGCCGAAGCGAGACGAGGCCGTAGACAAACGGAAGACGTTCATACTGGACAGCGACACCAATTCCACCACCAACGGGAGTAGTCCGAGGAACTCTTCCATTTTTAGCCACGAGAAAAATTCGTTGACTACCGGTGAGTTTCGAGACCGGCATCTCTTATCTATTAGACAAGTCCGTCCGTCCGTCCGTCCGTCCGTCTGTCTGTGGTGCTGTTTCAGCGGCAAAACCGTAAGAGATAGATAAAGAGAATGTTTAAGTTATAAGTTAAGAATAGTCTGATAAGACTACAAACCGGATTTGAGTAACGTAGCACTTCCGGTTTTCGAGAAATCACGAATTTCAAACGAAACCACACAAAATCTCCGAAGTTCTCAATTAATTAAATACTTTTTTTTTTAAATCAGGTTTTGGTGAACATTTGGTTCACTGGTTTGCTAGTATATATTCTAATATATAAAATTCTCGTGTCGCGGTGTTTGTGGTTAAACTCCTCCGAAACGGCTTTCCCGATTCTCATGAAATTTTGTGTGCATATTGGGTAGGTCTGGGAATCGGACAACATCTATTTTTCATCCCCCTAAATGTTAAGGGTAATCCACTCCTAAATTTTTTTTTCACTTTTAGATTTTTTTTTTATTTTTTATGATACAGCATTGGTAAATACATACAACCCTAAAGTTTCACTTTTCTACCACCAACCCCTATTTTTTTATGGCGGTATATATATATAATTTTTAAGCATGTAACTACTAGATGTTTAATTCATAGGAATTTTTGCTAGAAAAAAATCTATACATATAATAAAATGGTAGGAAAGTCAAAACTGTACATTAAATTTTTTTTAAAAGAATACTTGGGGTGTGATCTACAATCGATACCGAAGCCAAAAACATAGTTTTTAATATTTTTTGTCTGTTTGTCTGTATGTATGTCCGGGATAAACTCAAAAAGTACTGCATGAATTTACTTCAAATTTGGCACGAATTAAGAAGTCTGGTCAACATATAGGCTACATATTATCACGCTATCACCTACGGGGAACGAGCAGTGAACCTTTATTTCTAACTAACTCCACGCGTACGAAGTCGCGGGCGTCTGCTAGTAAAACTATAATTCCTATTTCTTCTTTCAAATGTTTAATACTTGTAAAGGTATTCGTTTGACATTGTGGGTTGCCTACAATGCGAATAGATGGCGCTGCCTTGCAGTTTAAGAAAGGCTAGAGAAAATTCGTTACGGCCATCAGGGCCGCGGTAGCATATTGGTCAGTGCATTCGCCTGGATAGCGAAGGGTGTGGGTTTGAGTCCCGTCTGCTGCCTTATCCGCGTAGAATTTTTCTAGTAAAATTTTCTTTAGATTAAAACAGAAAGCCTTATAAAATAAAACACAGACAAAATAACGAACATGAAATCTAAATAGTAGGCAATAGTGCGTGCCGTAGAAGAGCTCGAAGTCGCAGGTGGTTAGCGCGTTCGGCTGCGATCGTTGAAGTTAAGCAACTTTCACAGTGGTCGGTCATTGGATGGGTGGCCAAAAATCTTCTATCTCGAGTTCCTCCGTGCTTCGGAAGGCACTGCATCTGCAGTCGTTAGCACCCGCCAATCCGCACTAGGCCCGCGTGGTGGGTCAAGGCCCAATCTCCCTATTCCATCCATAGGGAAGGCCTGTGCCCCAGCAGTAGGGACATTAATAGGCTGGTGATGGTGATGATGATGATTATTTTAAAGGTAACCTACTAAGATGGTTGATTCGATCTATATTATTGACGACCTCCGTGGCCGAGTGGTTTGTACGCCGGGTTTCATGGTGTCGCCGACTCGAGAGGTCCCGGGTTCGAATCCCGGTGGGGGCAGACGTTTGTGTGATGAATACGGGCATTTGTACTCCAGTCATGGATGAATAATATGTATTTCTATATAAATATACTTATATATGTACAGTATATGTATTCTATCCGTTCCCTAGCATCCCATAACACAAGCCTTACAGTGCTTAATTTGGGGCTAGGCTAATTGGTGTGAGTGTTGGAAATATTTATTTAAAATTAAAATTATTTAAAAATCTTCCAATGAAATAACCGAACGCTCAATATAAGTCTTTCGAAGGTAGCTCGACAATTTTAAATAAAAAATCATTATTCTGACGATGCAGACCTGAAAAGGCTGCGAAACGTCAATAAATAAATAAAGTTTCGTGCATTAACCCGTAAAAACTAGTTTTAAATATTTATTTATTTATATCATTTTCAGGCACCAGTGACACAGAAGGTGAGAGCGGTCCCGAGAGCGCCCCCGTAGTGCTCCGGCCCCGAGCCCTACATACCAACCCTAAGCACAGGTAATGCTATAGCACTGTTGATAGCGTTCCTTACCAAATAAAACAATCTCAAACGGGTTTAAGTTCCCATCCTTTTCAGCAAAAAAAGCGAGTGTGCTTATGACCACACGACTGAAGTGAAACTTTTTTAGCTCCAATGACCTGAACTTATAAACTTAACCTGAAGATTCGTTGATAGAAAAAACACCAGCCATCCGCGCTGGGTCCGTTATCAATTCAATTCAATTCATTTATTTCAGCCATTTAGCCATATAAACCACATAAAAAACAAGAATAATAATTATTAAAGCATACAAATTACAATCAAAAATACAAAAATAGAAATGTCAACAACAAAATAATTCAAATAAATACAAAATTACAATGTCAATAAAAATAATTACAAAATTAACATTAAAAATTCATAATAATTACATTATTAAGTTATTGCATTTCATTACATTTTACAAGTACAGTTGTCCAGTGATTACTTATAGGACACTCGTACCTGCCCCCTACAACCTTCATTATTATCATCCACCAATCCGCACTGAAAGAAAGAAAGAAAACTGTTTTTATTTTTGACAGCACATAACATACACATAAACTGCAAAAATACATTAAACATAATTATAGTAAAACGAAACGAACAAGTAAAGTTAATAACAACAAAAAACAGCTACAGAATGTGCAATTTATGTGATACTGGGTCTGTTATCACGCACTAATCCGCGCTGGGTCCGTTATTATCCACCAATTTGCACTGGGTCCGTTATCATCCACCAATCCTCACTGGGTCAGTTATCATCCACCAATCCGCACTGGGTCCGTTATCACCCACCAATCCTCACTGGGTCCGTTATCATCCACCAATCCGTACTGGGTCCGTTATGATCCACCAATCCGCACTGGGTCCGTTATCATACACCAATCCGCACTGGGTCCGTTATCATACACCAATCCGCACTGGGTCCGTTATGATCCGTCAATCCGCACTGGGTCAGTTATCATCCAACCAATCCGCACTGGGTCCGTTATCACCCACCAATCCGCGCTGGGACCCTTATCATCCACCAATCCGCACTGGGTCAGTTATCATCCACCAATCCGCACTGGGTCCGTTATCACCCACCAATCCGTACTGGGTCCGTTATCACCCACCAATCCGCGCTGGGTCCGTTATCAGCCACCAATCCGTACTGGGTCCGTTATCATCCACCAATCCGCGCTGGGTCCATTATCACCCACTAATCCGCGCTGGGTCTGTTATCACCCACCAAGCACTAGATTCATGTATTTTGAGACGGGTATTGTTCATTGTTAACCGATGAGTCACCTGACATTAATCGTAATGCGAAATAGTAACACATTCGCCAGTTACCCCCCAAGTCAAGCGTACCTAAAGAAGTTTCACTTCAAATTTTTTTATGTAGGTAATGTAGTCATTAATACCTACATTGTGAACATTGATTATGGTGAGAAATAAAGGTTATTATTATACACTCCCAGCCACATCTACCGGCCCACTTAGGCCGTATTATAGAAAGATTCTCAGTGATTAATCTAGTCTTGAGCATAGTTAGAAAGGGATGTCGCTATATATAGCACATAGCGACATCCCTTTCTAACTGTACTCAAGTAAAGATCAACACTTAATTGTCATTCTGTAATATGGGCCTTAGTATTATAAGTTAAACGATGTATAGTAGAAATATCATATTTATTTGCTTTTGATTTTGTTTTATTTGATTGATAAATAATTGATATTTGATGTACTTTAAATGAATTGTAATTATTTGATATAATATATATATTTTATTGTTATTATGATTGTAATTATTTAATTTGATTATAATTTTTTTCTTCTTCTATTTCTGTATGTAATATTGGTACTACGTCTGAAATAAATCTTTATTATTATTATTTTAAGTTGTGTTGAGCGATAATAATAATATATATTGTGGGTTACCCACAACGCGAAGAGATGGCGCTGCCTTGCAGCTTAAGAAAGGCTAGAAATAAATCGACACGGCCATCAGGGCCGTGGTAGCATAATCGGTCAGTGCATCCGCCCGGATAGCGAAAGGTGCGGGTTCGAGTCCCGTCTGCTGCCTGATCCGCGTGAATTTTTTTCTAGTAAAATTTTATTTACATTTAAACATCTACCAGTTGAATGCTTAAAAAATAAAAATATATAAAAATAACTTTATGTAAAACTTGGTTTAGGTACAGCGGGGACTACAGCGTATCGTCGTCCACGACTAGCGCGAGTCACCGGCGTAACGCTAGCGTAACGAGCGCTAACGTGACGGCCAGCGTCCAGCCCCGGTACCTGGACATATCGCGGTACCGGGCCGACGCCGCGCCCAAACCGGGCCCGACTCGACGACACCACGTCGCCGACACCAGGCCTGTTAGCAAGGGAAGCGCTCAGCACTTGGAAATGGGTAACGATATCACATTAAATAAAACTAGTTTTAACGGCATTAAGCACGAAACTTTATTTACTGACCAACAGATACAATTAGTTCTTTTTGTTTGCTTGATCTAACATAAGAAGGAGATAGAAAGCCTCTCTGAGTTTGTTTCGCGGGTTCCTCTCAGAAAGGTCTTTCAGTTTTGGAACCGGTGGTAGTTTACGGTAGTTAGGGTCAAATAAATAAACTCAAAATTACAAAATAGAATTTTATATAAAGTACTTTATTAACTAAATTAACTAATAAATTCATACAACATGAAGAAGCAACTTGCAGGCCGGCAGGGTGAGGATGGCTGGTGTGGCAGTTAGAACTGCTGTATCAACTATCTTCGCGTCTGGACTTCACCTTCACTTAACATCAGGTGGGGTGGAGTCATTTGTCGGATCTATCTATATAAAAAAAAAAACACGTACAATATTTTTTTTTAAATCTTCTAACGGAATAACCGATTGCTCAATAAAAGTCTTTGGAAGGTAACTCGACAAATAAAAAATCATTATTCTGACGATGCACACCTGAAAAAGCTGCGAAACGTCAATGAATAAAGTTCGTGCATTAACCCGTTGAAACTAGTTTTATTTAATGAGTGATGTGCGTGAAAACCTAAGAAACAAATATTCTTTCTTTCTTCTTTCAATACATATATTCTTCTCCGTTTCACGCAGAACAAAAGAAGCAAGAGTTAGAGAAGTGGAAACGCAGGGCATCCTACGACCCGCGCAAAGCAGCCGCCCTAGGGAAGACCACCAAGCCACCGCCCAAAACCGCCAGGTAAATAATACGACATTATAAATGATACACATTCTTAGATTAAAACAAAAAGGGAAGATACGGTACGTTCATACTAGCATCAAATAATATATGATCCGATTCAACTACATAAGCAACTCTCACACACGCACACGTCTGAATATAAACATTCAATCGAGCGAGCGAGACAGAACTATTCGAATTCTTGTCAACAATGACATTTCGGTTTGCAAACTATTCGAATTCGATAATGGTTCGTGCTAGGGGTACTGTACCCCTAGCACGAACCAATATCGAGTTCGTATCGTTTGCGAGTCCGAAATGTCATTCATCATCATCAGCCTATTAATGTCCCCACTGCTGGGGCACAGGCCTTCCCTATGGATGGAATAGGGAGATTGGGCCATGACCCACCACGCGGGCCCAGTGCGGATTGTTGGGTTGACCAACGGCTTAACGTGCCTTCCGAAGCACGGAGGAGCTCGAGGTAGTAATTTTGTGTCACCCATCCAATGACCGACCACTGCGAAAGTTGCTTAAGTTCAACGATCGCAGCCGAACGCGCTAAGCACTTGCGCCATCGAGCTCCTTCTTCTTCCGAAATGTCATTGTCAAAGGAGATTACTCAAATTGGCCTAAATGCACAAAAAATATTGTCATACACGGTAATTCTTGGCGTAATTTATAATTTAATTTACAGTCATTAGATTTCAACGGACACCTTTGTATAATATATTTACTTTAAAAAGGACTTTTAATTTTACCGGTTTGGAAAACATACGAATGATTTTTAATGGCTATGGGTGTAGTAACATTCAGCCAAAGACTGATCGAAGTTGTTTATATAACATAAAAACAAATCTATTTTGTAAAGATCGATAAAATAAATCATTTTTTTTATTACACTGTGGTATTAATATCCACCACTATATTATCATTTTCACTAGATGCAAATGTGCTCAGACAATTATTAAAGATGGTAGGCGACATCATAAAGTCTATTGCGATACATTTTTCGTCAAACACCTCCATAAACACATTATAATGTGTATTGTATGTTAGACTTTAAGGTATCTATCTATGGGCCTACGTTCCCTGACTATAAATTTATAAATAAATAAAATTATAAGGTGTGATACACTAAAAATCTAAAATATGGTTATCTTAAAAACATAACAAAAATAATGAAGCTACTGAATATATGGCTATAGAACCTAAATCTCTTAGCTTTATTTGGTTAACGAGAGTTTAAAATTTTTCTCTAATCTGTGGCTCATTCACAATCATCACACAGTTTCTGTCACAGAGTAAGGTAGGTACGCTATTATAACCGGAAATGACACCTGATTTTAAAAGTTACTCTTATACATTAACTTTAAAAACAGGCAACTATCTGTTAATCTACATGCTCTATATACCTGAATCTAATCCATAATTTCGGTACTTGGCTTGATTTCCCTAGTTTACTATATAACTTATTTGTTTTTTATTGTTTTAATATGTTCTGTGTATATAGTTTATAGAAGTTCTCAGGGCTGTCCGTCAATAATATTATTTTCTACAGTAATTTATATATAATTTCGAATCTAGGAAACAATTTTTCATGATTATTGGTCTTTAGGCCAAAATGTATGGAAGCTGAGCAATCTCCTTTGTACTGATTTTTAGTTCTCGTTACGTACTTTGTGCCGCTGCTGTTCAAGTTTCCATACAAAATTTGACGTTGACATTTCGGTTTGCAAACTATTCGAATTCGATAATAGTTCGTGCGAAACGGCGAGTCCTCGTAGCTTGGCAACCGACTGCGTTTTCTGTCCTCTCTCTACAAACGGCTGAGCTGTATTGTTGTCCTTTTCAATTCAATTTATTGCACTCATGTGGTTACTTACAGATGGTTTCAAGTTACTAAATACATAAAGTACCTAACATGAACCCCGTCTGGGTATCGCATTATTATAGTGTCTTTTAGATAAAAATTACAAAAGAGAATTTAATTAATAAACAATTATCTATATAAAGAACCTAATTTGTATTAAACAACTTTATTTCACAAATCATGCATAAATGTCATCTGATTTAATTAATTTTATGATTTCTTGCTAAAGTATCGCGAAAAAGTGAATAACATTCATGACTAACCGTGATTTTTGGGAAAAAAACTGTTTTTATAGTTTTACGAATGAAAAGTGCGCGTTTGTTATTTGATTTTGAACTATTTGTGTTCTTTATAAAAGCATCGTAGGCATTGTTTTAGCTTTATAACACAGAATATACGCAATATTGTTATATTGAGTGCACATGCAGCGTGTTTGAATGCCCAATTGTGACTAGAGCAAATTGTGGTCATGCACCACAATTTAAGCGGATCACTTTTAAGCAGCGAATGCCGTATCTTCCCTTTTTGTTTTAATCTAAGTACAGATTACACGAGTACATTTATAATTCTTGTTTAATCATCACTGACTTGATATAGTAAACAAGGCCCATTTTCGAATCGCTCGTTACTTAACTTCTTCGATGTTGTAGCAGTGGTGACGTGCAAACTTAAATTATATGCCTAATCCAGGCTACAGACAACGATATTAAACACCCTAGATACATCATCACGAACAAAATCGTGGCCGAAACCTGTCCAAAAGGTACACATTGGACGATTCACGGAGCTCCGTAAGATGATCGCGTAGTCAAAAACAATATAAGGCATCATTTAAACATTGAAAGTCACCTTTAATGCCTACTGTATAGGGTCTTAATTAAAACGCATGCGTCAAAGATTTATGACAGTTCAAAATGCAAGAAGGTAAAATTTTACGACCTATTGCTATATGCGGAAGAATATAGACCTTATTTCTTTGTGTCTGCATGAAATTCTGAATGCACTGTTAGCAATGTAGCAGGCACGGACCGCGAGAGAAAAAGATGGCTATATAACCGCCCATGCATTAGAATATCACAAATATTTTCTATTAAATCAGTTAGTATTCAGGCCACGGAGGTCGTCAAAATGCAGCAAATCAACATCATGCGAGTAGTAAGTAACAAAGTAGAGGAAATAATTCTCATGTTGTTGCAATATAGCTTCAAAATTTAACTAGTGATTCGAAAATAGGTGCTTGGCCTTCGTTTTCGTACCTTATTTTAAACTCGACTCACTAATCCGTGGCCCGGCCAGCGTGGTGGGTCATGGCTCTCTATTTCTTCCATAGAGAATATCTGAGACCCAGCAGTGGGTACATAAAAGTAAGATGGTGATAAGGAGTGGTAGATTGTTGACTGTATTATCTGACCCATATTAATGTCCCCACTGCTGGGGTACAGGCCTTCCCTATGGATGGATTGGGCCATGACCCACCACGCGGGCCCAGTGCGGGTTGGGGTGCGGGTTAAATACTCTTTTTCGTTTCTATTTATTCATCGAAAATAACCATACAACAGTGGTAATGGAAAACATACTAATATGCCATAATAATTACTTTACTAAATTACCAAATTAATTTGTAAATATTTTCATTGGCATACATTTCTAAACTTATTTAAAAATTATTAACATATAAGTTAAAAATTCTAACTCAATTAAAATTTTGTTGGTTATAGCTGCGACTTATTAAGTGACGATTCTGCCAATGTCCGGCCTAAAAGAGACATGGTATTATTTGAGACTGTACGGTTTTGTTTGCGTCGTTTAAAAATTCTAAATTGTTTACAATTCTAGAGCGTGACAGATGTCAAATGCATGCAATTCTGGTTAAAGAGACATGACGGCGGCCATCTTGTTGTTTAAGGTTAGTCATACGTCAAAGTGACAGTTGTGGCGTTCGGGTGTTGCCACAAGTTGCCAATTCAATTGGAAAGGCACAACACTTGGTGTATTTATTTTCAATCACGCTTTTCTGGTGCTTTAAGGACTTTTGCTGACGATTCTTTCGCTTCTAACTAACACTGTCGCGATATGTTAAAAATAAAATTATATTTATACGATATTTGTATTCGCATACAGCTATGTTATTATCAAAATAAAAACAGTCACCATATTTCATGCTAAATTTTCATGTAAATGTTATTCACTTCATAATGTACAAAGAAATGTTCCATTTCACAATTTAAGTACTCAAGAGCTCATCTCCTTCGAAACAAGCGATTATATGCGTTTATAGGCCATGTTATGCTAATTTTGACCTTAAAATCTATGGCGTTCTCCCGATATTACTAAAGAGACCATTAAAATAATCGATAACTCCCAACAAAAACCCGCATTTTGCATAAAAGTCCAGACATTATAGTTACTAAATAGAAAATTTGTGCAAGGAGTGGCAGATTTGTAAATTATTTAATTTATAATAATAGAAATGTCAAATATCGAAGTAGTTAAATTTATAAGAAAAATCTTCTACAAAAAATTCCACGCCGTCCAAGCAGCTAAATATATTTACTTTGACATTTCTATTGTACTTTGGATTAAAGAAATACTAAGCTAAAAATGGTGGTAAAATATAAAAGCCGAAAAATTTTGAAAAAAATCGCTCATCCCTATCTTTATAAATTCCCAAGAATGGTAGGTGACCCTTACTTGCGTGTGCATCTATGTTCATGCGGTATTTTCGCTCGTTTCGTTGACGCTGCTGCTCTGTATCTATGTACATTGTGGTCATACACTCCATAACATTGTGCGACTAGCTTTGAGTAAATAGGTTATTTGCAGTAAGTAGGTATTTTTTTATTTATTAAAAATACGATCTTTTTTATAAATCGTCCGATCTATCGTACATAAAAACAAAATATTTATTAGAATGTCACGTTGTCACAATAAGTGGTGCCTATTTCTGAATTGTATCACTGTTATAGCCATGTATTTTTTTAAAATCTTCCTTTTTTATGTCAATTTTTGCTTTACTAATTGTATAATTTAACGCTTTTGCTAAATTACTTACTAATTTTTAAAGGAAACATTAACTAACTATCAAATGGCCATAATCTTTAAAAGATAATTCTTAATTATAGACACAGAGTAACCTTGAGCCACTCTTCTTGTTTTACGAATTGTTTATTTGCAAATTGTTTATCGATTATGGCTGAACAATAATTCTGAATACGCCATCTTGGTTAAGTTCTGTACAGTTTATTGTTATTTATGATATTACTGTGGTAAGTTATTTACGCCATACCCCATTTTCTTATTAGCAAAAAGTTTGATTTGTTCCTTATATTCAGGGAAAGTTATCCTGTTTCCTCGCAAATGTGTTAAAAACGATGTAAACGTGACTATATATTCGTCTACACTCGTTTGTATATACTAATTTAGAACGAATGTCATACAAGGTTTTTCAACACATTTGCGAGGAAACAGGATAAGTTTCTCGAATTTAAGTAACGAAGCAAACTTTTTGCTAATAAGGAAATGGCGCGCATTTCCAAGTGGCGCCACGTGCGGGTGGTGAAAATTAGAACTACATCTTTCGTCTCTTTTCTTTTTAGTATTAAAGTGAGACAAGGTATAGATTAAAAGTGCATTCGAGGAGCTTAGATTAAAATAAAAAAAAAACGTAATGAATACGCACGGCGTCATGTATGGGAGCGTGCATCATTTCTGTATACAACATTATTTAGTTACGTCATATGTATATAACCCACTAAATTAACAGACATTTAGATATAAAATGTTAGTATCAAAAGAACTCTTTATTCTTTCATACAATCAGTAATAAATTGTAACACATATTGCTGACACATCTCATTGCTATAAACTGTATTGTCGCTATACCAAAATTCTGGTTTTCAGTATCTCCCTGCATGATAAGGATAATTCTACTGTCAGATTACAAATAGTTACTAATTATTTACAGCAGCGTTCTGCGATCTCAATCCTTCCACGGACCAGTATTAGTGTCGACTACGTTGCGGTACCAACCAGCGCCGACACAAATTACTGAGAGCTACGACGCTTCGAGCGACAACGACTTTTAACGCGAACGCTCTCGGTCGAAAATGCGATGGCAAACATGTGATAAAATGTGTGTGCGTGCGGACGGATATGTATGAGGAATGCACGGGATTTATATACTTGCAAGAAACGCGAGGGTCAAATTATTGTTATACAGATGTTGGATTGGAATTGAGTTAGGTGTTCCTTTGCCTAATTAAAAAAAATAAAATATTCGCTTTGACACATCGTTTCGCGCCATTTTCTTTTTTTTTGTTACAAGTTTAGTCATTTTTTTTATTTACTGACTTTTTTGTAGATGTTATGGATTTGGGTTGATGCAATTTTTTTAGTTTTTAACAATGATGAGTTTTTTTATAAATCTATAATTTCGCACAAATTCTCATTTGGACGGGATGAAGTCATGTTTATTTTTTTTTGTAATAAGTATGAAATTACTCGATTAAGTCGGTCGCTAAGTACATGTTGATGAGGAATGCATTGTAAATTGTATGTTAGTTAAGGTTATTCGCAATTAAATGTGATTTAATAAACTTTGATATCTTTATAATGGACGAACATATATCACTTTAAGTGTCGTTAATTATGGCTTTATATCGTTATTAATAATATTGTAATAATATGTCCTGTCCAATAGATATGTAGATGTTGTCGGTATTATTGAAATTTACTTATTTCTTCGTTTATAAACATTGCTCATATCGTCAATACATCGAGTTACTTTAGAAACATTTATAATCTGTAGTTCTAAGTTTTTTTTTATTTTTTTTGTGCAATAAACCGTCATCACATTGTTCCAAGTACTAAATAAAAAAAAAAGGTATGAAATTCGACCAAGTCATAAGTTTTTCGATATTTTGAAAATGTAATCTACAATATCATATAAAAGTATTTATTTTTATGGTATCAATGAAATAAAATTGAAATAGCTAAATATTTTTTATATAGGTTGCCGTTATTAATAAAATTAAAATATATATATTACCTGTTAAAATATTTTCGGTGATTATTTAATTACATTTTTGGCTTTGCGTACAAAATAATTGAAGTATTATTCTAAGTTATAGTTTACAACTGATAAGGTACACTCTCCATGAACAATATTAGGTCCATTTGACACAATAAATAGAAATAAGCAGTAAAGAACGCTAACGTAACGCTTGTTTTTGAAGCTGATATTTTCCACATGACCCGTGGATTTTTCTGAATAAGTAGTCGCTATTAGTGTTGATATGTTTTCTCTATTTAGTAACGAGTTGATATAATATAGCATCGGATAAAAATATAAAATAAATAAATATATTGTATAGTTCCGTAATTCTTTCTTCTTCTTTTTCTTTTTTTTTATGGCATGCACGGTTTGTGCGTTCAGCCAATGTCAAGTAAAACCGTAATTCTTTTGCTATGATCGAATTGAGATTATTTTTTTCTGAATTCTTATGTATTCATAAAAGAAGAATTACATAGAATATTCGACCTACATAAATGAAGTTATTGGGCCAAAGAAGTAATCTTTTTTTTTTCTTCCACAATCTACAAATCACATGACAACTTGACATACTATATATATAAGAACAATAAAATAGATTGTGAGAGACTGGTACCGGAACTAGGCAGAACGCCTGTATCTCAGAGAACATCATCGGGTCATGTGACATCCTGTGGTTATTCTCAAATAATGTAATTAGCATAATTTAAACAAAATGTAAATCAGATTGAATTCTTTGTATTATTAATACCGTTTAATTTACTGTTACCTACAGTTTCGAAATGTTCAAAAAGAGCGGTAGCATAATATGAAACAATTATAACAGCATTTTCTTTATATAAAATAGTGACGATTCATTATTTAAAAAAATGTATAAAAAAGCATTGTTATTTTTTCTTTTCAATAATGAAATTGAATAAAGAAACGACTGAATAATTTAAAAATATTATCATTATACTTTACTGTAGAGAAAAAAAATCGAACAAGTGTGTTGTCTACGATATTTGTCTATGGGCGAGTTGATGGCATAATAAATGAGTACTCCAAGCGTACAATTTTTCAATGCAAAAAATGTAGGCGATGTTTTTTTTTTACAAAATAATTAGCTGTTTTCAACTGCATGTAGTTTCTGTAGTAAGACGCAATCTGTGTTCGACTTGGGATATGTAGATTTATAATGTAACGCCCCAATCGATGTTAGCATTTCATAAACAAGCATATTTTATTTAAAGAAATGGAATAAATAAATAAAGCTATAAACTGTATTTTGTGTTATTATTTTATTATTATAAACTGCCACACGTTTCTAGCTTATGTGCTTTCGAAGAATAGGGGAGTATGAAATAATTAATTTATGGCAACCATTCAGATTTTGTAAAGGTACAAAGGAAAGGAGATTGCTCAAATTGGCCCAAATGCACAAAAAATATTGACATACACGGTAATTCTTGGCGTAATTTATAATTTAATTTACAGTCATTAGATTTCAACGGACACCTTTGTATAATATATTTACTTTAAAAAGGACTTGTAATTTTACCGGTTTGGAAAACATACGAATCATTTTTAATGGCAATGGGTGTAGTAACATTCAGCCAAAGACTGATCGAAGTTGTTTATATTATAACATAAAAACAAATCTATTTTGTAAATATCGAGAAAATAAATCATTTTGAAGTTATACTTCTTTAGGCGCGTTATAAAAAAATTATGAGAGTGAAATTTTAAGATGCGCGCGCATCTGTAACACAAAAAATTAACACCATGTGCCGCGCTGCCATTACCGCGTCGCCCGCCGCACCGTACGCATGCGCGGCCACTCGCGGTCCTAGCGCGGGAAACACGTACAACAAACATCGGGAAAAGTTACGAGTTTTGAATTTAGAACAGAGACTGTTTTCATATCTATATATATAAAAATGAAACCCGTTTTCCGTTGTCACGACATAACATGAAAACGGCTTGACCGATTTGGCTGTTTTTTTTTTGTAGTTTTCTAATACTCTGTACAAGGTTCTTACGGAAAAAAATATAAAGAAAATCCCAAGGGGATAAAATAAGGAATGAAAGTTTGTATGAAACTTTATCAATTTTAAACCGATCGGGCTGAGACTTTGCATGCAGGTATAAGAAGAATCATAGATGAATGTCATTGTGTATAATACAAGCCTGAGAACAAAAACTGTAGTCTAAACTTCAGCTCTACACCGAAGCGAAGCGAGGGCGGGCCGCTAGTTTATAATATTTATCCACATGTTTCTAGTTTGTATATTCGGAATACGTGTTTGAGTTTCATACAAGTGCAAATCACATATGTTCTAATAAATTATATTCAGTAGCGATTTTAATTGAATATTTTGATTATTTATTTATTTTTTCAAATTAAAACTGAACTTTATTGACTGTGTCCTTTTCCAGACTTTTTATTAATTTATTGTAATTAAATATTTGCATGCAATTAAAAACTAATTTTAAACGATGCCAAAGAAGGATAACTTCTCACGCGCCTACATAAGTACACGCACCCATTTTTTTTTTATTACACTGTGGTATTAATATCCACAACTATATTATCATTTTCACTAGATGCAAATGTGCTCAGACAATTATTATAGATGGTAGGCGACATCATAAAGTCTATTGCCATACATTTTTCGCCAAACACCTCCATAAACACATTATAATCTGTATATATGTTAGACTTTAAGGTATGGTATCTATGGGCCTACGTTCCTTGACTATAAATTAATAAATAAATAAAATTATAAGGCGTGATACACTAAAAATCTAAAATATGGTTATCTTAAAAACATAACAAAAATAATGAAGCTACGAATATATGCTATAGAACCTAAATCTCTTAGCTTTCTTTGGTTAACGAGAGTTTAAAAATTCTCTCTAATCTGTGGCTCATTCACAATCATCACACAGTTTCTGTCACAGAGTACCTTATTATAACCGGAAATGACACCTGATTTTAAAAGTTACTCTTATGCATTAACTCTAAAAACAGGCAACTATCTGCTAATCTACATGCTCTATATACCTGAATCTAATCCATAATTTCGGTACTTGCTTAATTTCCCTAGTTTACTATATAACTTATTTGTTTTTTATTATTTTAATATGTTCAGTGTATATGGTTTATAGAAGTTCTCAGGGGTGTCCGTCAATAATATTCGTTTCTACAGTAATTTATATATAATTTCGAATCTAGGAAACAATTTTTCATGTTTATTGGTCTTTAGGCCAAACATGTATGGAAGCTGAGCAATCTCCTTTAAGGAAAATTTAAAAAGAAAAAGAGAATATTATATTCAGTGTGGATTGCGCACCGGCTGCGATCTGATTAAGGTTTTTCCAACCATCGTAATAAACATTGTATAATAAACAAAACAGGACCTTCTTGGAGGATATATATTTTTTTATATATGTTTGCCTAATATATTTTTTATATAGAAAAAATGTGTAAGGTATAAATAAAATCCACTCTTCGTTCCATTTTTGTGTTAGTAGGTAGGGAGGTAGGTATGAATGAAAGCAATTAACAATATTAATTTATAATCTTAATATATATAAATCTCGTGTCACAATGTCTGTCCTCAATGGACTCCTAAACCACTGAACCGATTATAATAAAATTCGCACACCATGTGCAGTTCGATCCAACTTGAGAGATAGGATAGTTTAAATCTCAAATTATAGTCGCAATTTTAATTTATTGCAAATTATTACTTTTGGGCGGTACGAAGTTCGCCGAGTCAGCTAGTTGAATATAAAGACTTCGGAGATGACGGTAGTCTCGATTTTCTCGATGTCACTGCGCAATGCTTGCTAGTGCGCAGTAACACCCTCCGCGGAAATTATAGCGCTCTCAATTATACAGGGACAAAACAAAACTTTAATGTTTATGAAATATCAAATATAAGGAAACGAATAAGTAAAACCAGTTTTACATTTATTATTAATGATTTTATTTTTGAATATCAATTACACTTTTTCTTTTATTGTTATTTTATAAACTTTACATTTGACCTGGTACTTTATCATTATTTTACCATTATACAAATGTGCTCCACTATTATGTAGCGTAATATCATTCTAAACTTGTCCATTTACAAAAAGGGGTCATGGTATTTTAATTTTATACGCTGAAACTAAAACTTGCCTGCATTTAAAAAAAGTTACATTTTTATATTGTTATTACTTATATTTTTTAATTCAAATCTCGTTTCGTTGTTCTTTGCCCAAATACTTAGTTTTAAAAAATACTTTTCAATAGTAAAGAGGAATAACATTTCAGAGTCACTCGCTTCAATTGAAAAAAGGAAAGGAACCTTCGAAACGATTTTTAATGTCGTCTTTTTTTCATAACTATACTTAATTCACAACCACATTAATCTTTTATTTTATTATTTAAAATAAGATTTCGTGTTACAGGTATTTCGTCTAATTTAAAAATAACAACTCTAAATTGAGCAAGTTACAGAAGTGACAATCAAACGTTATTCATCGAAAAGAACGGAAAGTTAGCTATTTAATGATACAGGCCAATTTTATGTAACCAACAATAATTTTAACGCAAATTATTATTATTTCATATACTTAGGTTACATAAAGATATATTATAATTTATTACCCAAAATATAACCGACTGTGGATATATAAAAAATAAAATAGTTGTTTATAAAGGTCAACAGGTTAGTATTTCTCATCTGATTTCTGTAAAGAAATTTCAGAAAATAATTAATGATAAGTTGTTTGATGATAAATATCATGAATATAAAAAAAAAATCACATAAACATAATTTTATCTGGTGTGATCTGAGTACGAATTTTTGACGATTACATAGAAAGAAATATTGTAAATTTTATTCTTTATTGATGTTTATCAATAAAGAATACGTTTGTATTATAGCTGTAATTATGACAAATCCACTTTGAATAAAATAAAAAATAGTTTAATAACTCAAAACCATTCAAAAACTAATATCATGTTTTTGTGTATATATGTAAACAATAAATTAAATATAAAATTTATCAGCACTCTTCTGTGTACATTCGTTGACCTTTTTACATATGTTTTAATAAAACAAAATGGAAATTTAACTCAATTTTATACCATGATACCCTGTCATTTCATGCCTCAATTATAACATAGTATACATTAAATGCGTCTCGAGTAGGCAGTAGAAAAGAGGAAAAAAAAATACATTTTGGCACTACTCTGAAAAGAAAACTGAAAACCTTTAAATAAATCATAGATTCGCTAGTATTTTTTCCCTTAAATCCTATCTTACAGTGTAATTAAAGCATCCACTTATGTGATTAACACACATTTTTAAAATCGTATTTATATAATAAAACTATATCGATAATTTCTAGGGTAGGTATGTATGTCTCCTTAAATGGCCAGTCTACCAATGACGGTGACGAAAATAATATTATGTTTAATACCTACTATAGGAAGGCGTTTGAAAAGAATTTTTAACAACATATAACATACATATGTCTTATTACATTAATAATAATTATCAACAGAGATAAACATTAATAACTAAAAAAAAATACACTTCATTCATTCTACGTACGCAACTACGAAAGATAACTTCTTTTTTTAATATAACCTCATTATATTAATGTAGTTAGTACTCTTGTATATGTTTTTCATTTTTGGGGCGGATTTACATAAATCTCTACATTTTTTTAAAAATAATTATTTACAAACATTTTAAGCGCTACTACGTTATTTATTTAAGTTTAATCTAAGGTTTTATAGGTAAGGAAGGTTATTGTTGAGAATCTTGCACGACGAACTGTGTGCAGACACAATGGAAACTCAAATGACAATAAAATCATAAAACCTTTCAGAACGTAAGGAGTTTTAGTAAAGTACTTAATAAGTTCAGTAAAAAAACAGTAAGGGTTTGTTTATATGTCTCTATTAAATATGTTTACAAATAATTTTATTTGTATTTTTTATAACAACATTCTGTTAGTAATAACTTGACTACAATAACGCAAAAATATAGGTATTTAATTCAAAATTACACAGCACGTACTTTACTTAATCTTCTATTATTTATATAAATATAGTAATTTTTATTTCTAACAGAACATTCTACCCAATTTGTGTGGATATTAAATATATCTCGAAAAAAAACAAACTGGTTATTTAATTTTTTTAGTGTTTTGAAATATAAAATTAATTCCATTTTTAGTTGAATAATATTGCTCTAAAAAAAATATTAAAAAATAAAAACTTACGTCGCGTCGTCGTGAAAGGTCCCCAACTTGGAAATTAAATATATTAGGTATATAAAAAAGACATCGCAATGATTGAATAATTCGTTTCCTTTGACCTTAAATTTTAATGTTGAAGAATTTATTAAATCTAAACAGCTGCTTTTATAATGCCGTGTGTGTGCGTGTTTGCATCAATATGTTTAAAACAGTACTGTCGAGATAATTCAATGATATTTAAATTTGTAAAAATAAATCTTATTAATAAAAAATTAACATGCACTAAGCAAAACTTCAGAGCGAATTTACATTATGAAATTATAAAAAAAAGCTGACACCACAGTTTTTTTTTTCGCTCTGCATCGCTAATTCCGTAATGTGAATCAGCCCCTACGTACAAAATTGTTTTCGTAAAAATCTCACAACTATGTTTTTTTTTTAAATGTATTTCAATAGAATATCTAAAGTAGAAAAAACTAACAGATTCATTTTAACTACCATTTTTTATTTTCGTTCTACGTACAAACGTCTTTGCAAAACATTGAGCAAATTGAGCAACAATAAACGACTATTTAACTATCAAGCGATTTTAGGAAGCCATTTTTCACTTTTGATAAAAACTTTGTTTTCTACTATTTTATAAATATATTTGTTAAATTATCATTAACAATGAAAAATTAATATTTAACAAAACAATTACTTACACATACACATCTCGACGAAAATAGGGTCGTTATTAATAAATTAAAAATAAATATTTTACTTTTTGGGATTTTTTGTTTATTTATTTATTCGTGATTATTTTCAAAGTCCGCACATAAAGTGACTTTTATGTTCATCGCACAATATAGCGGTACTTTAACAGCACAGCTCCAGCATAGCACTTATGAAACATTATTGTTAAAAGACATACTAATTAATGTTCCAAATTGAATGAAAAGTTATTTCGCTGGACTTGAGCTATTACAGAGCCGTTGCAGTGTGCGATCTCCTTAACGCTTAAATTGTAAAAGTGTCTAATATTAAAACTTAGTAGTATTTACACTTATTAATAGGTAACATTATTTCTTCTAGTTCCTTTTTTTTAAAATTTAAATATATTATAATATATTTATACATATATAAGTTATAATATTGTTCCATTTTCGAACGGCGGCACTGACGCACAATAATAAAAAAACAGTACATTACAAAGTTACTGCACCACAACCTGTTTGTTTCGTCACTGACATAATTTGTTAGAGCGTTTTGACAAAGACGATTTCTTTTTTAACAGCTAATCTCGGAGTCGCCGACAAACTCGACACCGTTGCTACCCTGTTTTATCACTTTATTCCTAGTGTCGTTGGCGACCACGACTTCGGTTAAGTTCTTTTTGTTTTTCTGACCGTTGCTTCCTGAACTGGACGAAGCATTGTCGCTATCAGCGTAAGGGACATCAGTCATAGGTCCATTCAGCAAGCTTGCTGCCGAATTGGATTGTTTTAACTTCTTCTCCTCCTTAACCTCTTCCTTTGGAGTCTGCAAGTCGTCTATTACGGCTTTTTTAGGGTCTATCTGTATGGTTTTCGCTTCTGAAAGCTTCTTTGGTGTAACTACGTTGATGTAAGGCGGGATTATGTTCATCGTATTCAAATTTACCGAGCCGCTGTTCTTTTTGAGAGCGTTCAGGTTTTGCTCTAATTGGGCCGCGTCCAGACATAGGGGTTTCAGTTTTGGGGCTAACTTGGGCGGTTCTTTGTTCGCCCAAGCGTTGGTTCTGGGTGGGTCTGGCGAGGCAATGGGAGCAGTCTTTCTCTCTGGCACTAGAGAATTTTTGTGGTTGGTTTTGTCGATCACGTTTGCCTCTATAGCTTTCGATAGCACGTTTTCAGGCGGTTTCGGAGAAGTTGGGGTTATGCTGATTAGCTTGTCGACCTAGGGAGAACATAAAAGTAGTATATTATATGAGTCATTGTTATTTCCTTAAGTATTAATAAAACCAAACGCTGTAGGTTTAATTCCTAATCAGATTATTATAGAAAAGAACTTACAATAGTGCTAATGTTGTTAATGCTAATGAGTATTGTTACTTTATTTATGAATATTATAAGGTTCATTTGTTTCTACCAAAACCTAAATCCCTAACAATAATACTGGATAATTCTATTTGTCATCAGAGATAATCAGATTTAAGACAATACAATTCACTACAATCGAAATCCGAACTTAGATGTGGCGTTTGATGACTCCAAGTTTTTTCTTTCATTCTAACATTTTAGAATTGCCAATTTCTTTTTTCTAAATATATATCAGTAACTTGCAGCCCAAATCAGTCAGGAGGAGCTAGATGACGCAGTTAGTTATAGATAATGAATAAAGTAATTACTCAAAAAATTTTCTTTCACTCTGCCTCTGCATACATAAAAAATTAAATGAATAAAAACAAAAAAAAAACCTTTTCTATTTTGTTATTTTTATTTTTGTTGAAATAGTTTTTTATTAAGTTTTACCGTCTTTGGCGTGTCTAGGGTTATTTTTCAGGGGGGAGCTGGGCCCTGACATTGAAGAGTCGTCTGAAGTTAGTGATTAGTATTATAGAATTTCGATTTGGTAGTCCAACATCCTGGGATGGGCACAAGACCGTCCTGGGGTGGGCACGGCCCACTCGGCCCCCCCTTCTATATACGCCTATGGTTACCGTTCAAGATAACAAGCTAGTTATTGTTTTTTTTTTTATTATGTTTTTTACCATTTTCTTTTATTAACGTTGTCGTTAAAGATAAACATTAAATAGTTCACACGAGGTTGTATTGTTACTAAGTCGGAAGGCACTGGTATCTGCAATACAGTTTTTTTTAAACTATTGCAGATATCAACGGTCTAACCTAATGCATATTGTTAATACTTACAACACTGCTAAAATAATGTAAATACTAAAATGTATAACAATTTAAAAAGAAAAAACTTTTTTTTATTATTTATTATATAACTCTGTTTCGACAACGTATCAGGGCAAGCGCCATAGTAGACATTATTGTATTCAAGTAGACCTTTCAAATGATATGTAACACATATCTATTGGAACGGATACCAAGTTCCATACATTTTTGCCCATCATCCAAATAGTAATCTAAGGGATTTCAGGATTATCGATTTCATTTTTCTAAATAAATATCAGTAACTTACAGCTGGTCCATTTTCGGTAGTCGGTTTGGGTTCTGGCTTCTCAGTGAAGGAAGTCTCCCAGATGACGGGCTTGTCTTCGCTCTCGGATGCTGTGTCTTCGTCTATGGAAGCGCCTTCCACGGAACTTAGCAACCTGTTAGCGGAATGGTTACAATCAGAAGAAGAAATATGTCTGATGAGAGGATGTTAGCCAATAGAGATTATGACGGGGTAAACTTAATTATATTTAGTCCGTCAGTTAGATTATACTCTATTATAAGATTCTCTATTCGATTGTTATATTCTTAAATTTTTGATAATTTATTATCAAAAAAATGTAAAACATTTTAACTTCAAAGAAGTGAAAACTTCTTTAGCATAGTTGTGATTTGATACTCGATGAAACGAAAAAGCGACAGTATACAAGCTATCAGTTTTTTTTTCTTTTACAAAGCTTTTATTTTTTTTGTCGAAAGGTTTCACTTCTATCGCATATGAACAGCACATGGCCGTTTTTTTTCTTCAAAGATAACAATAATTCCACCGTTTATTTAGTTTTTGTGGTCCCTGGTGAAAGCTACTACTAAAGTACATATTTATTAGGTGTTTCATCCATCACAAAATAGGTAGTGATATGAACATAAACATATTATTGATAAACAGCCAAAACGGTTGACCTGTCGGCACAAATTTACAGTGTGTAAATAAAGAGAAAATTGCTAATCCATCGATGCTTTACAGAACAAGTATTTTGGTGGCGTTATACTAAAGTAGTAGTGGATCACTAAATATGAGGCTCGGTGATTATCAATTCTATCCGTCAAAAGCAGTGAATAGGCCAACAGCTCAGCTTGTGTTGCAGCAAAAGCCATAACGCTGAATTTCAGATGGAAAAGGGTCCAATAATTAAACTAAATACAAAGGTTATATATTTTTAAGCATTTTTTTAGATTTTCTTTTGATTTAAATATTTATTGTAAGTGACAATATCTAATTAATTGATAATAGCGATGATGATTAACTTTTCATTCTTCGTCTACCAGGTACACTATCAAAAAGTATTTATTGGATATGTATTTTTCTTTTTTCATACAGTCAAAACATTACTAAGATATATATGCATTTAAAAATGTCGCATGACGTTACGCCTTAGTAAAATTTTTACTGATTTCAAGTTACGTCACGTTCCCAATAGTTTACGTGCTGCATCTTTGTAATTCACTAGTTGATTGACTAAAGAAAAATATATGTGTCCATTATTGTTATACATATATATTTTTTATGCATATAACTGCTAGATGCTTAAATCTAAAGAATATTTTTTTACTAGAAAAAAAAACTCGTGGACCATGCAGCAGACGGAACTCAAACCCACACCCTTCGCTTTCCGGGCGGATGCACTGAGTATTATGCTACCGCGGCTCTATTGCCCGTGTCAAATTCTTTTTAGTATTTCTGAGGCTACAAGGCAGCGCCATCTCTTCGCATTGTAGGTAACCCACAATATTAATCGAATACCTTTACAAGTATTAAACATTTGAAAGAAGAAATAGCTATATTGAAGTTATATTCACCTGTCAGTGGAATTAGACGGCAGAAACTTTGTGGTGTTCCGGGTCTCGGCGACGGAAGCGGAAGCATCGGGGCGCCTTCCGGCCGCGCCGCTCCGGCACACCATTGGAATGTTGCCATATTCTTGTGATGCTACCCGGATGGTAGAAAATGTAAGTGACTTTGGAGAATATTATTTTATTATATTATTTATTTTATACACACACAGTAAAATGTTAAGAAAACTAGAAACAAGAGATACAAATAAATGTATATATACTATATTTTTATTTTAAGCAGTCTATAAATCTAAAGCAAATTTTATTTGACATCCAGCTGGTGCAACTGCTCCTGTTGCTCCAAAAAAAATAGACTTTGATTTTAATGCCGGCAGGGGATTTTTTGTGTGTAATTCATTAAAAAAATTAACGAAACAATTTTAGTAATTAAGGCTAAAAATATTGACATTACCAAAAATATTAAAAGCTTGTAAATACAAGGTAATGAAGACAATGCTTTGCTTACGTTTGGGTAGGGTTCAGCCTAATAAGAGCAAGGTATTATGAAGTCCGTTTTCCGACTTGCAGATACTTATTTATACGAATGTTCCCAGCTGCATTTCGTTAGCACCCACCAATCCGCACTGGGTCCGCGTTGTCATGGCCCAATCTCCCTACGCGATCCAGCAGTGGGGGCATTCATAAACTGATGATGATGACATGATGATGAGTTACGCCGAACCTTTCAGAAGAGGTGGATATGGTGAATCCTCCATTTCTGGTGACTCCGGCGCCGCCGTTGGCGATTTGCTATGAGGTACCAGCTGATCCGTTGAGCTACAAGAACGTCATACAGGTCACTGTATCACTAATTTGAACCATATAACACTCACATTGAGAATTAAATAAAAACGGTGCTTAGAAGGTTTTATTGATAGCCAATCAGTTGTGAAAGAGGAATGGTTAAACAAAGTGTATACAGCGTGTTTCATTTAAACGATTAGGTTTCGGAAATCAGGTTGCAATACAGAAAGACTTATTTGTTGGAAACTAAGGTTTTGCATTTGTATCGTAATTTGCATACAATTTTTTATCCCATAATAAATTTCATACTAATATTATTTTTGGGACATAAAGTATTTTACTTTATGGGTTTTTCCAAGGTTTCCTTCTTCATTGATTCATACTAAAATCATCAAAATCGGTTCAGCGGTTTCACCTTTTAAGGGTAGTAGTAGTTAAATGCTGGTCTCGAATTTAGTAAAAGAAAGCTTGATAAAATCGGCTGTATTTATAACAAAAACTTCAACTTATTTCAATTCTCATTCCAAAACAAAATATATATAAAAAAAAACTTTATGTTGGCTTAACTTTTTAAAAGCGTTTCATTTGGCACAAACTCGAAATGTGCTCGCAAGCCGATCAAAGGCTTATTATAGCTTATTTTCTTAATAAGCAAAACCTAATGCACAACTCCTAAAATAGGAAAAAAACGAAGGAATAGGAACATAAAAACAGCGTTTCTTAGTTAATATATCAATAGGGCTAATGAGTAAAGTGCATTAATTTCAGATTTTGGGTATAATTTTAATATTAAATTATTGTTAAATTCGATTTAGGGGAATGGAAGTTTTCTCGCTAAAACATGCTAACTGCTCCGTCTTTATAGAGCAGTTTCCAAACATTTGTTAATATTTCAAATTGGCATATAAAAATTCCCATAAACTGTGGCACAACGAAAATTTTATTTATTACAATATCATTAAAAATATTATCTTAAGTTAAGAAATAGATTTAAAAATGTTTAATCATGAAATGCATAATTCATTATGCTATTAACAAAAAATGAAATATCATAATTGCGTTTTTCATAATGATATATATATTTAAAGGTTATTTCCAAAGTTTTTGTCTACAAAATTCTACCGGGAGTTTTTCGTACTGGCATGGGAATTTTTATATACAGCGCAAGGTTTGACTTGATACTTGTTACTATGACAACATCGATCCGTGAAAGGAGTGCCACATAATTAATACATTAGGTTTAGAGATTATCTGTTAGGAACTGGCAGCCATTACAATGAAATTATGCTTTTTATTTATCAATCAATTAGTAAAGCAGTGGCGAACTTGTAACACCTTTTTGAAATACTTTTGCAAATGGTTTTTACAATAGGAAGTCGCTATTTGAAGTCGTTATTTTAAGTTTATTTTCAAGTCACCTTTTTCCACGAGGGTAACATTTTTACATTTATACGCTTGATCATTGCAAATGTCAATTAGAGATGTCGGATGAAGCACGAAAAAAATATGCCATTCATCCAAGTGACGTTTAAGAATTATACGATTTGCTGAATATTTTTCTCCTTACACTGTAGCAGCGTGTCTAGCGAAATATATAAAAAATAGATCATAGAAGTCAAATATAATGTATTATTTATTACTTTTCTTACTTATAAGACAGGGTATTCATATCTTAAACATTTTTACTGACATTGTTCAGACATCCAATGTAAATATCTTTCTTCTTAACATCGGTTTGACTGATTCTGGGAATAAGAAATTAGTAAAACTGATTAGGTATAAAAACTACTCCCATCATTTATTTCAATACGAAATCTTTGGAAGAGTACTTTCAGTATACTAGTTTTTTAAACAGTAACGTAAAGAGAATATTACTCTGAGGAGATTCGCTGGGCAGTGATGATATTTGGATCGAAAACCCTGTGTACGGCCGATGGCATATAATCGAGTGGTGTATAGTTAGTATATTGGCTGCCAGTCCCTTGCTACCGCGCTAGTTACCTATTGGCGGGCGGCGGATGGTCCTGCGGCGACATCGGCACGAGGTAGTCGCACGCCGGCGCGCGCTGCCAACATGCCACGCTCAGTACACACGCGGACGGAGGGAGATTTTAATACTTGCTTATTTCATCATATAAGGACTTCGCTTAAATAGGATGCGAGTCATATGGTCTTATCGGTGAAAATAATAACTGAATATCATTAATACTCTTTTGAGTTGGAATCATTGAGTCATATGGTCTACTCGTAAATCTTTAGTTTTATTAGATAAAAGACGTCCTAACTTGATGGTAGAACAAACATTGGACGTTACAAAAAACTTTCGTTAAGTCAAAACTTTCCCATATACTTTTTCATGTAATGACCCTTATCTTATTAGTACGCCCTAAATAGTGATAGCTAGGTACGAAAAAACATTGTACGATTCAAAACTAGTTCCATACTTTTTATTTTTACTTTTTATTAAATTTAATTCAAACTCAGACATTTTAAATGGGTGGTAGTAAAACACATTTAACGATTCAAAACTTCTTTCATACATTGTTTATAGTTTTGAAACCAAGAAGTCATAATAATTACGGTCTTATAAACTAAAAGACGTCTTAAATGTGAGGTAGTAAAATTACATTAGACTTCTCAAAACTACTTTCACAAATTTACTTTTGAAAGCAATAAAGTCATTGTTTTCTAATAGAGAGAAACCATTGGTCAATTAAAGAAAAACGCTTCAATGAGTCAATTTAAATAAAGTATCATTTCGTTTAATTTTACTTGATAAATTATGTCAAAGCTGTTGTTTAGTTGATGAATCTGTATCGAATGATTTCCTCGATACAGATTTTCTTCTACTCATCCGAAGTATAGAAAGGAATATTAATACATTTTAAGTCATATGTTTTTTCATTATCGTTGTATGTGTGTGTGCCTAAATTATTGTGAAAAAATTATAAACTAGTTTGAGTGATTTGTATAAGGAGAATATTAAACTATTGTGTCCACGATTTATTGAATTTAAATATTTTGTGAGATCTAATTTTAATTGGGGGTTGGTGCTGAGTTACATGTAAGACCACAGACTTGTAGCAGCTATTTTCAATCGCGAGAATATAATGTGTAAAACTCGTTTAAATCTCCCTGAGTCTTCCACTGTAAATCTACGCGTGCATATATAGCTAGGTTTTATAAAAAAAGTATTTTGACAATATTTTCTTATTGCGATAACATAAATATTTTTTATAAAACCCAGCGCGAAGGGGCAAAGGTAAAATAAAGAATAGATATAGGTATAGATTGTCGCTATAGCTACTAGGCAAGTAAACACTCAATCCTGAAGATATTTCAATTGACAAAGAGATTCTTTGAAATGTTTCTTCAATGATAAGCGATGGGTACGATGACAAATGAAACGGTGAACGTCGAAAGTTGTTAACAAAACGTTAGTTTTTTTAATGACACATATCATGCGATGTGGTAACACATTAAAGAAAAATAATGTTTTGACAATGTATCTTTTTGTCATTCCAATGAATCTCTGTCTAACTACGGGGGAATCTAGTTTACTACTTTTCCATTCAAGGACGGGGGAGGGGGCAGAGTAAAAGTAATGGAAAAAATAAAATAGTTAATGAACATGCGCCACTCGCAAGCACGGCTCTTTATACCACGGATCTCTAACACCGATTAAAAAGTAACTTATTAAAAAAAAGGATCAGTTACTTGCTTCTAGTAGCCAGAGCGATAACATTTGGAAAAAGAGAAAAAAAAAGTTACAAATTAGTTTTCTTCATTTTTAAATTGTCCTTTTTATATTTGTGATTGTGAGGGGGAACTAGACACTCACTAGGAGAAAAAATATTATCATGAAAAAATTAACCTGGGATCCATTATTATTAATAAATCAGATCAAAATAGAGTGAGGTGATTCTCTACTTTAGAAAAGAATTAGTTTATCTTTTGATAACAGATGAAACAAGCGCGTATTGGTTGAAAATTAAGAAGATAGTTTGTGCCTTGTTTTTTTAAATCAATTATGTGCGTAATGGTTGAAAAGTATCAAGATTGCTTATGCCTTGTTTTTTTCAAATCAATTATGTGAACCGGTTATATTTAAACTAAAATAACAAACTAATGTTTCATAATTATATTTTTAATTATTTTTCACACAAATGTAAAGGGGTTTGTCGCTATTTAGAAATATTCGTAATAAGTAAATTGTAATTGATTTTTTATTATTATTAATATTAATGGATTCATATCATAGAAAACCACCTCTCTCTTTGCATGGAATATTGCTAAAAGAGTTAGTTTAATAACTTACCTGTGGCCCGTTGGCGTTCATTTGAACCTCCATTGGAGGGGGTAGTAATGATCTCACTACTGGTAGGGGGGCGCTTACTATTTCCGGATCCTGTGTCGAGAAGAAATATCTATATAAATAAATAGTTTAATTTTGTTGAAAACAATTCATAAGTACTTACGTAGATTTAGATTACAATAAAAATAAAATATATTTTTTTCTAGCAACATAACTTTAAATCATTAATACAGAAATAGGTATTTATCACAAAAATACAACTAATAATTTATTTTATTTAAAATTCATCCAAAAATAGTTATTTAATTCAATATAATAATTTAGGTTAAGATTGCAATTTTGGTATATTAGTAGTTTCGTCCGGTTACGCTCCACTTTTCCTTTGTATTTTCGTAATATTTTATAACGCATATCCGTTGAAACTATCATAGTTTTCGTAATTGTAAATTATGTTTCTATGTCCATTTTGATGAAAAGTAACTAAATATACTTAAAATTTAAGAAGACGCAAATGATTCAATGATAGCGGATTTAAACACTGTTTATTTGTATTGAAACGAAAACAATAAAATCAGTACCCTTAGAACGAGTGCGAGCTCACGAAAACTATCTATAGTTTTCGTAATTGTAAAACTCGTACTAAGGCTACTGTTAAGAATCAGATTAAGGTTTTGTATACTAGATGGCAGGAATAGTCTATTGAATCGCGCTATCGTTTTGTTTTTATGGAAACATAAGTATTTTATGTAGAAGCAATAAATGCTCTCTCGCTATTTAAAGTTGGAACAGGTGTTTAATTCTTTAGTTAGTTCCACCTCCTTTTTGGGACACTAAACATTGGTCCTACGGTACGCCGGATTAAGGCTCACCTAGAGGCAACGTGTTCAGCGCGCCATTCAAAAAAGTTTTTCAGGTTGAGTTGAGGAATTTATTGTCTATTGCCGTGTTATCTTTTACTGCTGCTGCTGTGCAGTAATTCCAAAATATTTGAGTCAAAGTTGAAGCTGTAATACAAACAAACCTTGACAATAGAGGGCGCTGCAGTTTTGAAAATATTTATGGAGAGTTGTCCAGGAGCTGAACACGAAACACATATGGTATGGCATGCGGAACAATCAGTGAGTGAGTGAATTTGAACTTTATTTACATAGAAGAAATAACTTAGCAAGAATAGAAGATATTTGGACTTTAACTTTATTAGAATTAATTTAGTATAGTAGTTTGGACTTGTAAAATTTTAGGCTAAACTCTGTTGAGACGGGGAACCTATGCTCGATTTTCCCCAGGTGTCAAAATTGTCAAAGACTTAGAAAATTTAGCAATCAATTCTCTGTGGACTTAGAATAATTTTTTGTTTGTTTTGGTGGCCGTCATAGACTTTGAAATTTTTTACAGCTTGTTATTATACTTCTGTATTCTGTTTATCTTTTACGAAATAATTTTGTTGTTGTTGTATGGTCTACGAAAGGTTTCTTTATTTGATTTCCTGTCATGTCAAGTAATTATTGAGAAACAAATATGGAAATATTATTTAAAATTCAAGAACATGTAACCTCAGTCATTGGTAATGGTATAGTTAGCTTTAAAAAGTTAACCAAAGAACGTCTTACTCAGAGTTATATAGAGGCAAGGTTAGAAAGATTAGAAGTTCTATGGAAATCTTTTGTAGACACACACTTAAAGATTATCTCTGATATAGACACTAAAGACTACGAATCATCTTCTTACTGTAAAAATAATATGTACCAAACAACAGAAGAGTTGTATATTGATTATAAGGCCGAATTAAAAGAAGCATTATTAAAGATCAAAAAGGCACAGTCTGTTACTGACAGTTGTTTTGACACAGATAATTCTTGCTTTATATCATATTATACTGAAGTCCAACATATCACATCAACTTCTTGTTTGTTCTGCTCAGAAAGTCACGACTTAAGTAACTGTATTTTCTTTTTTGCACATGAAACTGTTGAAGTGCGTCGTAATTTTATTCGATCAAATAATTTGTGCTTTAATTGTATGGGTCCAAATCACTCCGCGTTTGCCTGCCGTCAAGCTTCTAGATGCCTCGTATGTCAGAAAAAACATCATACCTTATTACATCTCAATGTTCCAATATCAACGGAAAACCATGTCGCTGATTTATCCGTTGACAAGAGAGCCATTGTTGTAGACACTACTTCCTCGTCAGGTAATTCTGATGTTACTAAGGAAGTCAATCACGTAGTAAGGAGTCATTCAACTACTCATAGTCAAGCTACTACTACGTTAGTTAGAGTACAGTCCATGTCAAGAAATCACTGTACTTTCAGATCCTTGGTTGCTAAGGGATCTCAATCTTCATTTACTACAGATGCCACTATGCAATTGCTAGGTCTCCAAAAGTTTCCAGCGTATGCTTTTATGTCAGGTATCGGTAATCAAAGTGACTCTGTAGTAACGAAATCGTCAATTACTAAACTTCAATCATTGCATGGCCTCAATTATTATGTTGTAGACGCCAGGGCTCATGTATTGAATGAATTAATGTCCATATTATCGACTCATAAAGTCAATATAGAAATATATAAAAAGTTAGTAGTGGTACAAATAGCAGATCTTGACTCTGATTTACTTCTGGGAGCTTATATGATCAGTCAGATTTTAGTCATTGGTTTAAGCAAGGGTCCTTCAACTTTTCTATTAATACAAAATGGATGGATTCTATCTGGCCAGGTTTCTTCAAAACCTTTGGGAAGCCTCCAGTTGTCATGTCTTAAGGTCATTAGTTCAAATGCCACTGCTCGTAGGAATGATTTACTTCTTAAATGTTGGGAACCGAAGTCAGGGAATTCAGTTATAAATAAAAAGATTCTTGCTCAAGAACAGCAACATTGTAAAATGGTATTCGAGGATAAACCCACCAGAGAAGACTTTGGCTGGTTTTTAGTTAAGCCACCATTCCGCTCATTTAATTATGGTAAACATGGTATACAGATTATTGATACTGAAGCACGGATATACAGAAACACCTCTCAAGTTATTTCCTGTATCTCACGATTATTCGATCCGCTGGGGTGGGTTGCGTCTTCCATAATTCAAACAAAATTTTCAAAATTATGGATGACTGGTTTGGAATGGTTTCAAGACATGCTTAATCATTTGTTGCAGAATTGAATTAAATACAGGGACAAAGCAAGGCTCAGTAGTTATCTTAGCAGATGCAATGTTTTCATTGCCGATAGGGTAAAAAAAAAAAGAAAAGTCAATTGTTTACCACAGCCAGTTTAAAGTTGGTCCTTCTTGGTTTACATGAAAATATTAAATACAGTCCACTTAGGTACAAGCTTGTTATAACTTAAGAAGGCCAAAAGGAACTTTCCCAGGACAAAAATGGAAGTCCTCAGGGTGGGCGGTACTATATTATTTTACTTAGCTTAAGAATTCTCCAATTGACTAACACAAATTAGTGACATTGGTATGTTATGGTATATGATGTTTTTTTTTTTTGTTTTGATTGCTAAAGCAGTTTACAGCATTATTACATATTTCGTTACAGTTATCACATTACCCGTGTCGTTGGCTTTCTATGCAAATGTTCTCTATATAGAGATTTGTTTGACTAAAATATTTGCGTTAATTGTTTATTTATATACACTTTTAGTAATGTTTTCTCAATTATAGTTATTTAAATATTGCTTACGACTATAATAGATTCGAGGATAAACCCACCAGAGAAGACTTTGGCTGGTTTTTAGTTAAGCCACCATTCCGCTCATTTAATTATGGTAAACATGGTATACAGATTATTGATACTGAAGCACGGATATACAGAAACACCTCTCAAGTTATTTCCTGTATCTCACGATTATTCGATCCGCTGGGGTGGGTTGCGTCTTCCATAATTCAAACAAAATTTTCAAAATTATGGATGACTGGTTTGGAATGGTTTCAAGACATGCTTAATCATTTGTTGCAGAATTGGATTAAATACAGGGACAAAGCAAGGCTCAGTAGTTATCTTAGCAGATGCAATGTTTTCATTGCCGATAGGGTAAAAAAAAAAAGAAAAGTCAATTGTTTACCACAGCCAGTTTAAAGTTGGTCCTTCTTGGTTTACATGAAAATATTAAATACAGTCCACTTAGGTACAAGCTTGTTATAACTTAAGAAGGCCAAAAGGAACTTTCCCAGGACAAAAATGGAAGTCCTCAGGGTGGGCGGTACTATATTATTTTACTTAGCTTAAGAATTCTCCAATTGACTAACACAAATTAGTGACATTGGTATGTTATGGTATATGATGTTTTTTTTTTTGTTTTGATTGCTAAAGCAGTTTACAGCATTATTACATATTTCGTTACAGTTATCACATTACCCGTGTCGTTGGCTTTCTATGCAAATGTTCTCTATATAGAGATTTGTTTGACTAAAATATTTGCGTTAATTGTTTATTTATATACACTTTTAGTAATGTTTTCTCAATTATAGTTATTTAAATATTGCTTACGACTATAATAGATTTATTATTCAGTATGTTTATATTGTTGTTCACTTTGTTCACTTATAAAGTTATTTTTTGTAAATATTTTCAATCTGTGTTAAAGTAAATATAAAGAATTTTATTTTGTTGATAGACTAAGATGTTCATTATCTAATAGTGCAACTGTCACCTAGGTATTTTTCAAGAATTTGTGTTGTTATATGTATAATCTACTATGAAGATGACTTTTGATTTATAATTAAAATTGCAATCTCATTTGTTATGGCCATGCTGTCCATGGTGGGCGGTATGTTAAAGAATCAGATTAAGGTTTTGTATACTAGATGGCAGGAATAGTCTATTGAATCGCGCTATCGTTTTGTTTTTATGGAAACATAAGTATTTTATGTAGAAGCAATAAATGCTCTCTCGCTATTTAAAATTGGAACAGGTGTTTAATTCTTTAGTTAGTTCCACCTCCTTTTTGGGACACTAAACAGCTACAGTAGGAATAGTTTAGTTTGTCTAACCTGAAGGAATCTTTGCAGCCGATCGAACATGGTAGCAAACGAAGGCCGATCCGTAGGCGTCGGGTTCCAACATTCACACATCAGCCTGTAGATCTCTTGTGGACAACCTTAGCAAAAAAAAAATTGACACAATTAAATTATAATTGAAGTGAAACTTCTTTATCGGCGTTGGAAAAAAATTTACCGTCACATTTTTATTCGGTTACGCGTCACGTTTTTTGGTTACGCGCCATCTTTTTTTAAAAAGAGCACTATTTACCTCATCCGAACAATTGCTTCTTCTGTCAACTTTAAAAAAAAAAAGTATCGGCAGCAAATATTCGTGTTTCACACAAGGTAAGGTAAGGTAAGGTAAGGTAAGGTAAGGTGTAGTTATACCCCTTTAGTGGGTAAGTTTTTGAAAAATCTTAGCGCACGCCTATATATATATTCTGGAAAGTTGCATGTAGATCATTTTTCGAAAAAAATAAGGCCATAAAGAAGTTTCACTTCTTTCGTGTGTACACTAGTACACGCACACATTTTTTTATATTAGAAAAAAAAATGTTTTAAACTTTCATGTTCGCTAACATTATAGCTATTAACGGGATTGTTACCATGTACCTTGTTTTTTATGAGTTGAAATAACCAAACACAAAAATTTCAATCGTGGGGATGGGTATAAATTTTCAAGTGTCTGGAATCCAGTGGTACGTATGTGCAAAAACCGCAAAAATCAAAAAAGTGTCGTTCCACGATCTGATACTGTGAGTATTGTGTGTCGGGAACAGATGCGAGTGAACAGTGAGAATGTGACCAATGGTAGGGGTATCGAACGCAGTAAAAGACGACGTCAGAGGGTAGACCAAAATGTCTGCCAATAACATCTCCCCACATTTACTTCAGTTACTCCGTGATCATGGCGCTTGCAACAGTGCCGAAATATCGGAGACTCGGAGACTCATAAAAAACAAGGCACATAGTAACAATTCCGCTAATAGCTATAATCTAAAAAAAATGATGGAACAAATAGGTAAAGTCAAAGATCACAGTGGAATAAGGCTCATAATTTCTAAAATCGGCATTAAAATTTCTATTACGCCCCAAAGTATAACGTGTTTGAAATCTGGTAATAAAGTCATAGAATTGAACAAGAAAATGGCTTACTTTGCAGCTTATATCAACCCTTCGGCTGTGTAGCCAACCAATTAGTTTTTCACGTCCGGAAATCAAAAAGTTTTCAGGTTGATTTTATTCTTATTACTTGAATTCTACTGTACATCCAGGCTTCATTTATGTCTTAAAGCAATCCTGAATAGTTTCTCTACAAACTTATCTATATATTAGATGTGAAAATTAAAAACCAATACTAAATATAAAAAACTCAAAATACAAAATACGGAAATAATCTTCTCAAGCCCTGGCAGAAATCATCCACTTACACACACGAGGGGTTAAGCGAAGGCTAAACGACTGCTTTACTTATCTGTTAAGCACTATGAAGAAATGCAGTAATTGTCCGAAATTAATGTTATAAATTATTTAAAAGATGCGTGCTTTTTATCGACAAGTGAAAAGCAACTAACCTGACACATTAATGTAAATTTAAGATTAAAAAGAAAGTTAAGTACCAAAATAGGTTTATCATCAATTAAATACTTAAGTTCAGAAAAAGTTAAAAATGATTTTTTTTATCTGTGGAAATTTGCACTGAATTAAACTTGTTTCAACCATATTCTACAGCAATATAGACTCTACTAGCGGTCACCCGCGACTTCGTACGCGTGGAGTTAGTTAGAAATAAAGGTTCACTGCTCGTTCCCCGTAGGTGATAGCGTGATAATATGTAGCCTATATGTTGACCCAACTTCTTAATAATATTTGTGCCAAAGAAGTAAATCCATGCAGTACTTTTTGAGTTTCTCCCGGACATACATACAGACGACATACAAAAATTCTAATAACTATATTTTTGGTTTCAGTATCGATTGTAGATCACACCCCAAGTATTCTTTAAAAAATATATACAGTTTTATCTGTCCTACCATTTTATTATATGTATAGAATCATTACCATAAGGTTTCTCCAGGCGGCCGCCTCCAGACACCATCTCCATAACTTCGCGGTTAGCGCACCCTGTATACGGCATCACGCCCAGCGAGAAAACCTCCCAAAGAAGCACGCCGAAAGACCTGGACAACACAGATTTTGTTGAGTTAAATCTTCATCATCATCAGCCTATTAATGTCCCTACTGTTGGGGACAGGCCTTTGCTATGGATGAAATAGGGAGATTGGGCCATGATCCACCACGCGGGCCCAGTGCGGATTGGCGGGTCACGGCTAGGGTTACCAACGTTTTTATATCAAATTTAGTATTTTATAAGCTGTTACTTCTAAAAATAAGGTAGTCGACAAAAAACGGAAAAAATATAGTATGTTGTAAAACTTTAAAAAAAATACTTTATTTTTAAAAGTTATAATATATTTTTTTGGCTGCTATATGCCTTTACATAAGTTTTTATTTTAAAGAGAGCTTTAACTGGCAAAAGTCTGCTTTAAGCAAAATATAGTTGTTTCGTCTGCTATATTTTTTTTAAGGAATACATTTGATCCCCTAATATAGAAAGATACTATATTGATAATTGTATTGGCTTAGGTATATAGGCTTAAAATACAGTAGGCTCTTTAGGCTTCCTTATAACTAAAATAAAAAAAATATGCAAGAATAATTTAGTAAATAGACTTACCAAACATCTGTTTTGATTGTGAATATCCCATCGATATAGGCCTCCGGCGGCATCCATTTGATAGGTAGCATGGCTTTGCCTCCCTTTTTGTAGTAATCGGCCCTATAGATGTCGCGGGCCATTCCGAAGTCGGCGATTTTTACAACTCGGCCCGGACCACGAGAGGTGAGCAAGCAGTTTCGGGCCGCAATGTCCCTGTGAACAAATTGAGACAAATAGAATATAAATGTTGAACTCAATGAATTGGTTGTTCAAGAAATAATTCTTAATCTTTAAATTTAATGGTGCCCTATTAAAGATACAGACAGACAACATACCCACGGCAGGCCACTTGAAAGTATGAAAAATAAAATCGGTACCAATTGTTGGCACCTAAATACGTGTCCAATATCTTCTGATAACCTACCTGAAAGAGTTAGTCATAATCCCTATTGCACACTGATAAATCATCAAGAAACAATTTTATTTCAGAATCTGTTCATTTTACCTATGGACCTCTTCGCTTCTAAGTATCTGCTTTCCTTCCTTCCTTTAAGTAAGCCTTCGCAGACATCCAGAGAACGTAGCAAAATATCTATCATAGTTAGCCCACTATCTTACTGTGACTTAAGATTGCACAATAATAAATCATTGACAATTTCAGAATCTGTTCAAATTACCTGTGTATGAATTTCTTCGCTAGTATCTGCAGCCTTTATAGACGTTCAGAGAATATAGCAGAAAAGCCTTTAAAGCTATCTCGCTAGTATTCTGTCTTAAAAATTGTACACTATTACATCATTAAAAACAATTTCAGAATCTGTTCAAATTACCTGTGTATGAACCTCTTGGCTTCCAAGTATCTGCAGCCTTTGCAGACGTCCAGAGAACATAGCAGAAGATCTTTCATAGTAAGTGCGCTGGCTCTCTCCGGTTTCGGTCTACTTTCGCGTAGGAAATTCTTAAGGTCCCCACCCGCCAGCAACTCCAGAACTATAAATCTGCAGATGAAACATATTCATGTAAGTTTTGTTAGGTATTTATAATAAGTGATAGAATAGTCTTGCGGCGGCGACATCTATATGCCCCACTTATATCCAACGGATGGAGGAAATCATCACTCGCCTGCTTAAGAGATGGCGCTACCGACACTGCGATCAATACGTATGGAAGCCTACATCGCGCAAGTGAAATTCGGATGCTAACACTCTATATATACAATGCCCGACCAACATTAGTCGGGCCGCGGCCCCTGATCTACCATCATCCATCTCGGAGGAAGATCTTCCCCTTGGCCTTCCTACAGTGCTATTGGGTTTTTCAATAAGGAAAATCACAGTGTAAACGTGTAAATACGTGTCAATGAAAATGAATGGAGCTGAGCCTTCTTTGAAAACATCAATATTGTTCAAAGAATCACATACTTCTACACTCAAGAGCAATGAAAACAGGTCAGTCTTGGAATTTCAATTGTATTTTGAAAGCTGAAATTTGATTTCTTTTGAAAGCTATGATGTTCTCAACTCAATAATATTTTATATCAGTCATCAAACGAGTAACATGAAAATATATATCTATTAAAGTTTACTATAATTTCTAATAAACATCATTTGAAATTGGCAAAAACCCCAGTGTAGTTCCATATTTAATTGTAGAAAGTTTGATGACTTTGAAAAGTGGCGATGCCTTGAATCAAATGTACACGTGCAATCATATTTAGTGATTGATACATTTGGATTTTCCCAAGTTGCAAAAGTATATTATTCGTTGTCTTACCTAACAATTGTGAATTCCTACTTCGTAACATATTATAACGTAACATTGATCATTGACAAGACACCATAATAATATTTAAGAAGATCTTGTGGCGCGTAACTGAAATCTTAACTAATTTTAGAAAGGTAAACATAACCCTGTTTAATTATAAAGGAAGGAGTTGATAAATTATGTCCGTGTTTTTCATTTTTCCCAAAGGTTGACTGGGAGAGAATGCTTTTGTACCATTGTTTATATTTTGGTCAATAAAGTTTAAATAAAGAAGTCTTATATTTCCTGTTACTGTTTGCAAGTTATTGCTCAATAAAACGGGAACGTTATGTACGTAAGTGAGGAGATTTTACGCTCCAATTTTATTTATTTATTTAATAATTTAGTACACACACAATAAAACAGATTAGAAGAACAGGAACAACAAATTTGTACAAGGGCACCGCGAAAGAAAAGATCATAAAAAATGGTCACCAGTGTGTGCCTCCTGAATATAAATAACAAAATACAATACTTACATCAACAGAACCTACGTATATATCTACATAGATGTACAAATAAACATATGTACTTAAATAAAATATACAAGTGTTAAAAAGGAGAAGCAATACAGTTCACAGATATAGCAATATAGACAACATAGAGCAATACAGTACAGAAACAGTGATTCAAGAGGATAGATAGTGTTCCTTCAACACTTTTTTAAACGTAGCAACAGTTGGACTGTCTCTGATTCCTGCTGGCTACGAGTTCCACAAGCGAACGGCATGTACCGTCATACATCTATCTTTATTTCAGCAGCAGCGCCCCCTTGTCCATGTCATAAAAGTGCCACAAGAACTCAGTTCAACTGTAATAAGAGATGGATAGATAGATAACAATACTCCAAAACTCACCTAGGATGCCTATCGAAGCATACCCCAATAAGATGAACTATATTGGGATGGTTAAACTTGGCCATGATAGCCGCTTCCATCAGAAAGTCGGACTCGGCCTGTCCGGTGGACAATTCCGGCAGCGTTTTCACCGCGACCGGCATTTCCGCCGTGTCTCCGGCTCGATGGCGGTATAGACCTTGGTAGACTTCACCGAAAGCTCCTTGGCCTAAAGCCCTGATAGAATGAAAATGGAAATTATATATTGCAACATTATCATCATCAGTCTTATAAAGTTCCTACTGATGTGGCACGGGTCTTTTTTTTATAGATTATATGAAGTTTGGGGATTTATAATAATATCAACATTGCTATCCCAAACACTCACAACCGGGACTTCAATATGAGAGACCTTATTGCTATCATACTCTCCTAACATAAAAATATTTCTACATCTGGTAGTTCTTGTAGAACATTGGACTAACGCCTTCTTTTTCGATCTCGTCATCAAATAAAGATTATGATAAAAACGAATTTCTGTTGCCATTTATTTCAGTTTTACATTGCTACTTTCCCTATCAAACTCTTCTATTATAACTACGTCTCTTTCTCAATCAATATTAAAACCAAAGACATCAAAATATACTTTATTTAAATGTATTTTCCTAAATTCTGCGAGTTCTTTAACAACATTTTCTACACTTCTATCTACATTCATGTCTATTGTATGAATATTCTGTTTTCCGTTGCCATCATTATTTCTCTAACACATACTCCTATCATAACAACGCTATTTCCCAATAAATCTCTGAAAATTGAAGACATTAAACTACATTATATTTAAAAAAATCTCTGTGCTCGAAATCTGTTAGTTCTTTTACAACAATGCTTGGATTAAATAGAAACGTAATGTAGATGTAAAGGTGGAATATATTGTTTAGAATGAATTTCTGTCGTACCTATTCTACCTAACTTTCCGTATTACACTCTCCTATCATAAAATCTTTCTCAATCAATCTTAAAACCAAAAAATAACTAAAATCATTAAACTTTACTATTTTTTAATCTCTTTTTTTCAAATCTGGCAGTTCATCTATAGAATTGATTGGATTAATTCAATAAAGATTTTGTTTAGAACGAGTTCCTGCTGTTGTTATCAAATTTTCCTCATTACACTCTCCCATATCATCTACTACATTGCGCCTCAATCAGACTTAAACAAATATTTGTCTTAAAACCTTATTTTACCCTTATTTTCAACCTCTTATTTTTATGACTTATTATTGTTGAAGTATAAGTATATTACATTTAAATCTATTTGTTCAAAACTTACTTGACCAACTTTAAGCTTTCCCTCGACACTTGAGGCAGTCCCCTAACGTCTATTCCTTGTGGCAGTATACTCTCGCTTCCGTAGTGTGGATTGAAGGCCATACTGAGAGGGTTTTCGTTGCCTCCCGGTGCGTTGCGCAATCGGTGTAGTTGCACCTCTTGCTCTAACAAACGCTTCTGGCGTAGCTCTGTCTCTTTCTTGCGTTGGTAGGAATTATCTGATGAAGGACATTAGGATGAGAAATTAATATTTTCTTGATTTTTAATTTAAAGACCATTTTAGGATTTAAGTGAGATGTAATTGATATCTTTACTTGTTTAATGGTTAGAACATTTTTGGAATTAAAGAATGATGAAGATTCTGCGATTGCCTATTGATTTATTATGTCTACTTGATTTAGGCACTTAAGAGTGGACATTTTAATAACTAGGTATTACAAAATGTGGACTAAAGCTAGACTTAATTTAGCCTAGTGCTGTCTCCTTTTTTGGCAGAATAAAGCAACATCGACAGTATCACTTTAATAATAATAATAATAAATATTACCAACACTCACACCAATTAGCCTAGCCCCAAAGTAAGCACTGTAGACTTGTGTTATGGGATGCTAGGGCAACCCCCTGTTAAACCCCCAAGACACCCAGTTAAACACTACAGGCAGTCCTCGACTTACGTCGTTTCAATTTACGTCGAACAATGTTTTGACACTATTCCTCAAGCATACGTCAATTGTTTCGATTTCCGGCATAGAAAAATTTACTTGTCGCGAGGTCAATGTCTGTGGGGCCGGCGTCCGTGGGGATGTCTCGACTTACGTCGTTTCGCTTTACGTCGCGTATTTCGAGAACATAACATGCCGTAAGTACGAGGACTGCCTGTATTCTCACAAAGTTATACAGTTCACATAATAAGTTCTCACATAGATACAGACACACGCACACTACGGCGAGTGCGCACACGATGACGGCCACCGCCAGCACGATCACCAACACCCAAGATATCCGCTCCCAGGCATCTTCCACTATTCACACACAAAAAAAGACAATATTTAGTGCGGACATGGTCGAATGAATAGATTATAAAGAACCACGATACATAGATACACGATTATAAAGAACTGGGTCAGTATCCACGATATCTGCTACCAGGAATCTTTCACTATTGTAAAAGTGTCAAATCAAATGTTTATTGCAGACCGTACAGAGACGTAAATCAACACATAGCCTTGAATAAATAGAATAGATATAAAAAAAGGCACCAATACAAATAAATAGAACCAAATCTTTATTGAAGATGGAGAACGAAAAGAGAAAAATTGGGAACTGGCGAACAAAACTTAGTTATAAGTGATATTGTATACTTACAGGATCTGTGTTGTCTGACAATAAATTATATTATTATTATATATTATTAAAACGGTATAATTAAATAAAAAGTATTTTAACGAGAAATACTTTTTACTGTTTTGCAATCCGGACTTTTAGGGGCCCGCTGAATTTCAATCTCAATCATTTTCAATCAAAACCACCTAAAACAGTGTTAAAATCACTAAATTAAAAACTACACCAAAAGTTCACTGGTGGTGTGTCATTCAGTTTTTTACTGCTCCTGTTAAATTTAATTTTATGTAATTATATCGCTTCGTTCGCCAGTTCCTCAAATATAAACTCAAACACATAGCGTAGAATGTTTTTAACAGTCATTAGACGAATATTATACGTATTAAAACATTTGCACCCCTTCTTAGCTCGATGAGCTCGATGGCGCAAGTGGTTAGCGCGTGCGGCTGCGATCGTTGAAGTGTATCAACTTTCGCAGTGGTCGGTTATTGAATGGGTGGCCAAAGATTTACTATCTGGAGCTCCTCCGTGCTTCGGAAGGCACGTTAAGCCGTTGGTCCCGGCTACATCTGCAGTCGTTAGCCACCAATGCTCACTGAGCTAGCGTTGTGGGTCATGGCACAAACTCCCTATTCATGATCCATCCATGTTGGGGCACAGACCTTCCCTATCCATAGGGAAGGCCTGTGCCCCATCAGTGGGGACATTAATAGGTGGAGGATGACCCCTTAGCCAAAAAAGTCTAATTTCGACTAGAAGGCGATCACCAGGGCCATATTTACAAATCTGGCGCCCCGGGTATCCTATGCAATATATGTTATATGTAGATAGCTATAAAAAATATGTTTCAAGAAATTTACTGTGATGGCCGTTTATGGTAGCTGTAATGAGATTTTTTTTCAAATCTTGCTCGAAGGACCAACAAATATATCTTATTTAATACTATGGTATACTATCTTCTATGATTATACTTACGGATGCACTTGGTCTCGTCATGCATATCGGTGCTCCAAGAAGACGGGCAGTAACATCTCACTTCGCTGCGGTATTCGTTCATCGCGACACAACGGTAGTCACAACCGCAAGCCTGACGAAATAACGATGACTTTATTTTTTTATCTGATGTTTTCTATCTGATGAGTGGGTGGTCTAGCTTAGCTGTGGGTGTCGTGTTATCAAAAGGTACAATGACACTTGTGGCGGCGACATCTACATGCCCCACTAGCATGGAGGAAATAATCACTGGTCTCCTCAAGAGATGGCGCTACCTGCGCTGCGATCACAATAGTATGGAAGCCTACATCGCGCAAGTGAAATTCGGAGGCTAACACTCGATATATACAATGCCTGACCATCATCAGCCGGGTCCCCGAGCTACCATCAGCTAGCTCGGAGTAAGATCTTACCCGTTCGTTTTATTTTTCTTCTATATGGCTTCGCACGGTTTGTGCATTTAGTCAATGTCAAGTGTTAAAATGTTTACAAATACTATAGCACTCGTGGTCAAAGTAAGTGGCAGTCAAATCAATCCCCCTTTCCCTATGTTTCAGTAAAAGTGTGGGGATTTACTTGCGGGAACGTCGAAAGACACGTTCCGCTATTTTGTTTCACTTGCCAATACTTGTAATGTTCCCGAACACTTAGTGGTTAATAATCCACCATTATTAAACACTAACATCCGTCACAACACATTTTTTAACAAGAAAAATAAAACTGCTAAAGTGACGCTTCCCGATCCCGCCAAAAAGTCCCACTTGTTCGTTAGGCCTTATTCGGGTGCACGATAGACATTCCTCGATTTCGGAAACCCGATGCAATAATTACATTGTTTTAATCACTTTCGGGTACTGGAACACGGGCAAACGACCCTGCATTCGTATTATATTTGAACGTACCTTAGTGATGCCATATTGGGGGGAACAAAAACGAATACGGGAAGAAATTTGAACCTTCGAATCTTGGAAGTGACAAGCAACTTTCGCAATGGCCGACCATCAGATGGATGACAAAGAGTTTGATCTCGAGCTTTTACGCTTCTTTGTGCCCCAGCTATGTTATGATTAGTTAGATTTGAATGAAATTTGGCACACATATAGCTCATTACTTGGATTGAGACACAGGTTATTTTTTATTCTTGAAAAATGTTATGTCCTCCGATCCTGAAGGATTCTCAAAAAGTCTAAATTAACGAGGAGGTTCTCTTCATCAAATTCACGTGTATTGCAAAAGAACATTCTAATAAGTCGATTGGAATCCTACTTTCTTTGTAATATTATAAATAATAGGGCGGCGACATCAACACGCCCCACATATAATTAACGAAGAAATATTCAATGCTTCATAACAACAAATGGCGCTACCGGCGCTGCATTCAAAAAAGTATGGAAGCCTGCATCGCGCAGTAGAAATTTAGAGACTAACACTTGATACTCGAATATGCAATGACCGAACAACATCAGCTGGCTCGCGGCCTCCGAGCTTGGTAGCCATCCAGCTCTGAGGAACATCCTTAGGTCCTCCTACAATGTGAAAGTTTTAGCCATTTGATGACGAGCACCTCCCCGGGCCCGGTGCGCGGGGCCACGGTGACGTCACTGTACTCGCGGACGGCGCGGACGCCTTCAATGTGGGACCATCATTAGACTCACGTGTATCGCGGGGATGACGAGCACCTCCCCGGGCCCGGTGCGCGGGGCCACGGTGACGTCACTGTACTCGCGGACGGCGCGGACGCCTTCAATGTGGGACCATCATTAGACTCACGTGTATCGCGGGGATGACGAGCACCTCCCCGGGCCCGGTGCGCGGGGCCACGGTGACGTCACTGTACTCGCGGACGGCGCGGACGCCTTCAATGTGGGACCATCATTAGACTCACGTGTATCGCGGGGATGACGAGCACCTCCCCGGGCCCGGTGCGCGGGGCCACGGTGACGTCACTGTACTCGCGGACGGCGCGGACGCCTTCAATGTGGGACCATCATTAGACTCACGTGTATCGCGGGGATGACGAGCACCTCCCCGGGCCCGGTGCGCGGGGCCACGGTGACGTCACTGTACTCGCGGACGGCGCGGACGCCTTCAATGTGGGACCATCATTAGACTCACGTGTATCGCGGGGATGACGAGCACCTCCCCGGGCCCGGTGCGCGGGGCCACGGTGACGTCACTGTACTCGCGGACGGCGCGGACGCCTTCAATGTGGGACCATCATTAGACTCACGTGTATCGCGGGGATGACGAGCACCTCCCCGGGCCCGGTGCGCGGGGCCACGGTGACGTCACTGTACTCGCGGACGGCGCGGACGCCTTCAATGTGGGACCATCATTAGACTCACGTGTATCGCGGGGATGACGAGCACCTCCCCGGGCCCGGTGCGCGGGGCCACGGTGACGTCACTGTACTCGCGGACGGCGCGGACGCCTTCAATGTGGGACCATCATTAGACTCACGTGTATCGCGGGGATGACGAGCACCTCCCCGGGCCCGGTGCGCGGGGCCACGGTGACGTCACTGTACTCGCGGACGGCGCGGACGCCTTCAATGTGGGACCATCATTAGACTCACGTGTATCGCGGGGATGACGAGCACCTCCCCGGGCCCGGTGCGCGGGGCCACGGTGACGTCACTGTACTCGCGGACGGCGCGGACGCCTTCAATGTGGGACCATCATTAGACTCACGTGTATCGCGGGGATGACGAGCACCTCCCCGGGCCCGGTGCGCGGGGCCACGGTGACGTCACTGTACTCGCGGACGGCGCGGACGCCTTCAATGTGGGACCATCATTAGACTCACGTGTATCGCGGGGATGACGAGCACCTCCCCGGGCCCGGTGCGCGGGGCCACGGTGACGTCACTGTACTCGCGGACGGCGCGGACGCCTTCAATGTGGGACCATCATTAGACTCACGTGTATCGCGGGGATGACGAGCACCTCCCCGGGCCCGGTGCGCGGGGCCACGGTGACGTCACTGTACTCGCGGACGGCGCGGACGCCTTCAATGTGGGACCATCATTAGACTCACGTGTATCGCGGGGATGACGAGCACCTCCCCGGGCCCGGTGCGCGGGGCCACGGTGACGTCACTGTACTCGCGGACGGCGCGGACGCCTTCAATGTGGGACCATCATTAGACTCACGTGTATCGCGGGGATGACGAGCACCTCCCCGGGCCCGGTGCGCGGGGCCACGGTGACGTCACTGTACTCGCGGACGGCGCGGACGCCTTCGATGTGGGACCATCCGCCGCCGCCATGTTGGCCTTCGCCTTCGTTTGTGTTGCCGCCTGTGTGGGAATAAAAATAAAGAAATATAATATTCATCAAACTTACACTGATTTACCAAGCCTACAAGTAAGTGAGTGTTATTAGTAATTTAGTGTTGCCAGGACCATCAAAACCATAAGATCATTCATTCTTTCCATGACTTTATTGACAGACTGTAGTGGTATCTCTCTACGTATAAAAGTATGGTAATTACCTAGGATAGTAAAGTGGGTTTGTGTATAAAGCATGATAGCTAGCTTAACTATGACAAGAGATTATGTGTATTGTTTGTTACAGATCGCGGCACGTAACTCTAGCGCTGAACAAAACGCGTCAGGGATAGCTGACGCGTTTCGCATGCGCATAGGCAGTACCGTCTTTGACCTATTGGAGGCTTTGGGCATATTAGGATAATGGGGCCTCTACGATCCCCGTTTGGTAATATAACAGGAACTAGGGACTTCGTATTTGATCTGAGGGGGGCACCTATCGATCGCGGAGCCCTGGGCACTTGCCCAAAGTGCCCACTGGGAAAGGGGGCTCTGCGCATGGGTATGATTTGAGAGCCAATCAGCGCAACGCGGCGTGCGTTTCCCCCCAACACATCTTCATTTTTACGCGCGCGCAATAACGGTCCAATCTAGAGTTTCGTGCTTGTGACTTGCCGTCGCGTCCATATTTTCTTCTTTTACTTTCTGTTTTCTAAGTCGACTAGTTAAAACAGTAGAGTCTGTATTTCTTTATGTATTAAGTGCCTGTGTTCAACACTCACCGAGTCATTTTCTTAGTAGTTATATGTATGAGGATGTTATAAAGAAAAGGAGATGGTTCGTGTGTGTAAGTATGTTAGCTCTTCTATGTAGCTAACATACTTACACATACGGACAAATCAAGCTAACATATTCATACAGTTATTTTTTCTTGAAATATTGTGTATGAGCATGTTAGCTTGATAGTAGAGGGTGTATGTGTATTTAGTCTGTTTACTACTCACCAAGCCATCCGCTGCCGCTGCCCCCGCTACAAGTATCTTTATATGTTAGCTAGAATATCGGCTCATGCCCGTGAGACGGTTTTTCAGTCTTTGCGGACGCTAAGCTCTGCGTTTCGTCCGGTTTCCAATCTTGTACGGGACAATCACACGACATACCGAAAAACCATGTTGTGGTCTCGAGTCCTACAGTTAGCAATGGTTCAGCACTCACCCAGCCACCCCCCTCCGCCGCCGCCGCGCAGACAGCCGCCCCCCCCGCCCCCCGCCGCGCCACGCGCCGCCTCGGCCCCGGCGTCACCGGGCCCGCGCGCCCCACCCAGCACTCACCCAGCCACCCCCCTCCGCCGCCGCCGCGCAGACACCCGCCCCCCCCGCCGCCTCGTGCCCCGGCGTCACCGGGCCCGCGCGCCCCACCCAGCACTCACCCAGCCACCCCCCTCCGCCGCCGCCGCGCAGACAGCCGCCCCCCCCGCCGCCGAACCCCCCGTGCGCGGCGCCGGCGCACGCGGCGCCCCCCGCGCCCCCCTCGCGCACCGCCGCGCCCCGCGCCGCCTCGTGCCCCGGCGTCACCGGGCCCGCGCGCCCCACCCAGCACTCACCCAGCCACCCCCCTCCGCCGCCGCCGCGCAGACAGCCGCCCCCCCCGCCGCCGAACCCCCCGTGCGCGGCGCCGGCGCACGCGGCGCCCCCCGCGCCCCCCTCGCGCACCGCCGCGCCCCGCGCCGCCTCGTGCCCCGGCGTCACCGGGCCCGCGCGCCCCACCCAGCACTCACCCAGCCACCCCCCTCCGCCGCCGCCGCGCAGACAGCCGCCCCCCCCCGCCCCCCGCGCCGCCTCGTGCCCCGGCGTCACCGGGCCCGCGCGCCCCACCCAGCACTCACCCAGCCACCCCCCTCCGCCGCCGCCGCGCAGACAGCCGCCCCCCCCGCCCCCCGCGCCGCCTCGTGCCCCGGCGTCACCGGGCCCGCGCGCCCCACCCAGCACTCACCCAGCCACCCCCCTCCGCCGCCGCCGCGCAGACAGCCGCCCCCCCCCGCCCCCCGCGCCGCCTCGTGCCCCGGCGTCACCGGGCCCGCGCGCCCCACCCAGCACTCACCCAGCCACCCCCCTCCGCCGCCGCCGCGCAGACACCCGCCCCCCCCGCCGCCTCGTGCCCCGGCGTCACCGGGCCCGCGCGCCCCACCCAGCACTCACCCAGCCACCCCCCTCCGCCGCCGCCGCGCAGACAGCCGCCCCCCCCCGCCGCCGAACCCCCCGTGCGCGGCGCCGGCGCACGCGGCGCCCCCCGCGCCCCCCTCGCGCACCGCCGCGCCCCGCGCCGCCTCGTGCCCCGGCGTCACCGGGCCCGCGCGCCCCACCCAGCACTCACCCAGCCACCCCCCTCCGCCGCCGCCGCGCAGACAGCCGCCCCCCCCGCCGCCGAACCCCCCGTGCGCGGCGCCGGCGCACGCGGCGCCCCCCGCGCCCCCCTCGCGCACCGCCGCGCCCCGCGCCGCCTCGTGCCCCGGCGTCACCGGGCCCGCGCGCCCCACCCAGCACTCACCCAGCCACCCCCCTCCGCCGCCGCCGCGCAGACAGCCGCCCCCCCCGCCCCCCGCCGCGCCACGCGCCGCCTCGGCCCCGGCGTCACCGGGCCCGCGCGCCCCACCCAGCACTCACCCAGCCACCCCCCTCCGCCGCCGCCGCGCAGACACCCGCCCCCCCCGCCGCCTCGTGCCCCGGCGTCACCGGGCCCGCGCGCCCCACCCAGCACTCACCCAGCCACCCCCCTCCGCCGCCGCCGCGCAGACACCCGCCCCCCCCGCCGCCTCGTGCCCCGGCGTCACCGGGCCCGCGCGCCCCACCCAGCACTCACCCAGCCACCCCCCTCCGCCGCCGCCGCGCAGACAGCCGCCCCCCCCGCCGCCGAACCCCCCGTGCGCGGCGCCGGCGCACGCGGCGCCCCCCGCGCCCCCCTCGCGCACCGCCGCGCCCCGCGCCGCCTCGTGCCCCGGCGTCACCGGGCCCGACCGGCCCACCCAGCCCCCTCCAGCACCTACCGACAACCACAAATTATTACTTAATCTACAGGCCTCAGATTTGTTACTGGTTGCTCCGGAATCAACGACACGGTACCCACCCTACTAGTCATCCTCATCAGCCTATTAATGTCCCCCCTGCTGAGGTACAGGCCTTCCCTAGGAATGGAATAGGGAGATTGGGCCATGACTCCCCACGCGGACCCAGTGCAGATTGGTGGTTGCTAGCGACTGGAGATGCAGCCAGGACCAACGGCTTAACGTGCCTTCCGAAGCACGAAGGAGCTCGAGATAGTAAATTTCTGGTCACCCATCCAATGGCCGACCACTGCGAAAGTTGCTTAACTTCAACGTACGCAGCCGAACGCGCTAACCACTTGCTCCATCCAGCTCGTCTCTCCACTCTCTTCTCCTCCTTGTTCTATATTAAACTAGATACTATTTATCTATCATTTGTACTGGCCATACACGAAGACGTAATATATTGATGTTGCCAAACCGACCAAGTTAAACAAACTAGAACACAACCCCAAACACTAGAGACGACAACACCGCACGATTACTCAATTCCCAGACTTATTTTCTAACTAAAACCACAGATTTCCCCATTAAAGCCAAAAGCGAATCAGTAACGATCAATTTCACCTAGAGATTATGATTTCATATTACTGCTCGATGCCCAAGCCCCCTGCGAACAATCCCACTAAATTTCGATTTAGTAATTTTTGACAGAAATGGAAATCGCCTAAATTTAAGGCGCGCCCCGCTCGCTACTTCGTGCCCCAGCGTTATCGGGCCTGAGCGACCTACCCAAACCCCTCATGCACCTAAAAAACATAATCCCACCTCATTCTCTTATAAGCATCTTCAATAAAACTCAAAACACTCAATTGGAATTGAAATCGTCCAAAAACCGCGTTTCATTGATCAGTTTCTTAGCAAAGAATAAGAGCCTGCGCCTCTTCGTGCCCCGACGTTATATAGGCCCAAGCGACATCTCACACCTAGACATCAAATCCCCATGTCATTACTCAATTTATAAGCCTACTATCTAACTTAAAGACACAGAACATCCTCACTTAAGCCTGTAATAGTGAAATTTTGTTAAAAATCGAAATTGCTAAAGTTTAAGCATCATGCTCCTCGCGCTTCTTCGTGACATCGTGACCCGGCGTTACCGGGCCCACGCTACCTACCCAACAACCCACGCCTGCACCCAACGATATTATTACAATTCAACGATATTATTAATATCGTAAACCCCCTTGCACCGCATGATTACGCAATCCTTAGGCCTATTATTTAGCTTATAACCGCAGAACACCACATTTAAAGCCACAGCCCCATTAGGATCCGTCTATCCTTTTTTACGGGGAGATTCTCATAACTCAATTCGGACACCTATTTTTGAAGTGGAACTTCTTTAGGCACGCTTGGCTTGGGGGGTTAGAAAATCAACCACCAGGGAAAACTGTTTGCGAGCGAGGCGAACGAGAGTTGAGTGGGGGATATAAGCAAGAGAAAACAGTGCGCGCACATTTCCTTTCTCTCTTTCTCTTATATCTAGTACATTTACTATTTATTTATATATATTTCATTAAATATGTATATGTACATACATGTATATATTGTACACATATATATATATATATATATATTCATACAGATGACAGACGAAGCTAAATCACTTCTGTCATGTGGTCAGCACCCCCATTGAGCCTAGAGACCATTAAGTGTCTTATAAACAAACGCGGCCTGCAATATAAACGAGTGGACAAATACAACCGCCCAATAAGAGCTGGTCACAGCCGTAGGCCGCCTCTGTCTGCGAGACCCTAACTCGTCAGTAAAGATTAGTTTCTAAGCTGTAGGCTTCCTAATTGAGATTTTCAAGGATAACCATAATTTAAGTCCGCGATTCCTCGTGACTCGGCGTCACGGGGCCTGAGCGATCTACCCCGCCTCCCGCAGAACCGAAACACCACAACCCAATGGCATTATTAATATCTTTGCCAAAACTTATGGCTCGGTAATAGACGTCCTGATGTGAAGCCAAAATACCAACCCCCTCCTGCACCTAAAGACCACAACACCGCATACTTATACTCAATTGCCGGACCTATGTTCTAACTAAAACCACAGATCATCCCCATTACCCCTCGTTTACACCAAGAAACAAGTAATAAACTAGTTTTGTACAAAGTTCTAAAATACTTGTTGTGTTTGTTTAAAAAAGTTTTTGTTTGCACTGCATAGACAACTAGTATCTGACGAGTATCAATCACTCATTTACTTCACACATTTTGTTTGTTCAACGAGTTTGATAAAAGTATTATATATAGGGTGAAATTGAATGTTTTAATGAAACTTCGTGAGATTGTTGGGTTACGTGTAAAGAGTATGCCTGATTTCTTTCGGATTTTTAAAAATTTTTTTTTCGTTTTTTTTTAATCGGTTATTTTTTCGTCATATCTTCGATGAGTATAATTATTCATTTTAAACACGTCTACATAGAAGTTGTAAAGCAACTTAAAATAAGCACTCCTAAAAAAACGGAAACTTAATGAATGCCTCCGGTCGAGATCAGTGCCGGGAGCAACGACTCGGCGCTATCAACTTTCCGCTTTGATTCCACACTATTTAAAAACATTACAAAAAAATAGTCTTAGCTGCTATATTATAATTATTTATTCATTTCATAAAGCACAGGTAATTAATAAATAAAATAAATCTTCTGTTAGAGCAATTAAAAATCCTATAAAGTTAATATGACTGTCACAATTTTAAAGCCTGTCTGTTCGTGTAAGAACTTCTTTTTACCCGGCTGCGCAATGCAAGAGCGCGAAGCGCGACGCGCAGACAGGGTTATGTGTTTAACAGTCTATATATGTATGTTTGTTCCTTTGTGGCACACTAGAGACCAAACGCCTGGACCGATTTTGATGATTCATACATCAATCGATTCGTCTCAATCATGGGAGTGCTACTAAAGATATGATAGTAATCAAAATTCAATATGGCCAAAATTAGGCGCCATATTGTGACGAAGTAAAAAACATAAGTTGACAAAATATGTCGAGTGGGGTATCACTGTCTAGATAATCAAAAATCATATTTAGGTTCCTATCACCATTTTTCATTTTATATGATTGTTTAGGATCTACTACGCTTTAAAGTTGTATATTAACCACTTACGCTTTTAATTTCAATCTTACGTTTGTATGGATCTTTGTTGCTCTTTCACCTTAAAAAATACTGAATGGATTTTAATGAAACTTAATAGTAACATAGCTCATATATGATAATTACATATATATAATAATTTATGTAGTTATTGAGTGAATTGGCCAATATATAACAATAAGTGTCACATAAGACGGAAAAAAATCTCCCATCTGCGAGCCATTTTGGCCTGCATTGCAAAAACAATAAAAGTTACATGAATGTAATGTAGAGTGAAAATGTATAGCTTAAATAGTTCTAAAAAAAAGTCCGTGACACCATATATCTATTTTTAATGTGTAAGTCATTACCGCTAAAATAGTGAATCAAAACTAAAATATTATTTGATATCTATTTCCAAAATGCACATTTTGTATTAACAAATCATTTTTTTATCAAAACAAATACTTTTGTCGCTTTTGATATTTAAAGACGATAAACTTTGCTTTTTACACTATGTCATTTCGACAAATATTTAAAAAGTTACAACGCTGACAAAGTGATAGCGCGGTGTACTATGTAAAAGAAAAAAAATGGGGTATTCGCAGTATCTGATCCTATACGAAGTACTAACAATAAAACTGTGATACAGTTCCTTCTTATTAAACGATGAAAAATATATTATTATAATAGGTATTTATGATTATTGAATTTTAATGAAAAATTCAGAATTTTACTGTTTTTCATTTTTTTTAACGATCTTACTTAATGTTACAAAAAAGGTTTACTTAATATAATGACAAATAACCCATTTTCGCTAGTAAGTACATACTTATTGGAATCCGTGCATTTATTAATCTGCTCGCGATAATATTGGTTTTTGTAATAATTCTGCAAAATTCAAAGTAAATAATGTAGATTTTTATAGGTAAATCACCCCTTTCATTACCCTACGTACATTGTAGCTAAGAACAAAGTTCCCATCTACTTCTATATGGGTATTCATTATATTCGATTTAGCTATTAGGGCACGGAAGCGCAACAAACAAACTCACTTTCGCATCTATAATATTATATTATACTTACTAGTGATCCACCCGGGCATTGCACGGGCGAAATTTTTTTATCGGGATAAAATATAGCCTATGTCACTCGGACAAAATGTATTTAAATAAAGAAAAATGTTATAATAAATAATGAAGCTACCTTATGTTGAATTAATATTTGAAACAGGTTCAGTAGTTTGACAGATTATTTGTTACAAACATACAAATCTTGCCTCTTTATAATATTAGTATAGATAGTTAGGATAAGATAAGTATTTAATTGATGAAAAAGATTTAAAAATAAAGTAAGTAATGGGTTTATTTGATTATATTTGTAAAAGTTACTTAGCATCTCTTATTTATTAGACAAGTCCGTCTGTCCGTGGTGCTGTTTCAGCGGCCAAACCGTAAGAGACATACGAAACAACATAGACAAAGAGAATATTTAAGTTATAAGTTAAGAATAGTCTGATAAGACTACAAACCGGATTTGAGTAACGTAGCACTTCCGGTTTTCGAGAAATCAGGTTTTGGTGAACATTTGGTTCACTGGTTTGCTAGTTTGTGCTTAACAGTGATACGTTATTCGGTATTTTTTAAACAAAAAAAAATTTGGAAAATTATTGCCATGATTGCACTACTGGGAGTACTATTCGAGCTTTACACTACCAATAAAAAAGGTTCGAACACAAAGTCTTTGACATGTTAAATGTGAACGCTTTAAAAGAAAACTACAAAGAGAACTATAAATTGATAATAAATGAGATTGCTATGGTGCTCTACCTTACGTTATGAAAATTTTATTATGCGCCTTTAGTTTAATAAAATTTTATAAACTTTGCTTTGGTGAATGCATAATTATTTAATTTAGTGATCTAAGGCAGTTGCCACCATTGTCCAAAACAACAGACGGAAATTACTGCTTTCTTCAACCTGCGACATAAACGTCATTGATTGGTATTGTATATAGAGTGATTAAAAACATTTGAAGTTAACTTCTGGCATCTACATATTGGGTTTCTGTGAATTAGGGACTGACACTGAATTTGTGTATATCACAATCTTAGACGTCCGGCATTGACATGACAATGCAGCTACTGCCAATTTTAAATAGTCGACGAATAAAAGTTAATGAATTTTATATTTACTGTTAAACTATTAAAAAAACATAAACAAAAGATGACTTTTTGAGTAAGTGCTAGTTTACTATAAAATTTACATACATTAGAGATATTTATGTAACGACTTGATTTAACTTCACACATTTTTGCGAAAATTGAGGTCCATCTGTAGCCTTGACCCCGCTGGTAAAGTCTTTATATGTCTTAATAAATCAATCTTTTAGACCGACGCAAGGTACTTAATAATTCCCGCGATATTAATTCCCTTACTGAAGTAACAAGACTACGGTATATACCGTCTTAAAATACTAACTAACTAAAAAGTGTGAAATAAAAAAGGTAAATTTAAAAAATCAAAAAACCCGACTGCTTAATTATACTTCAAATAAAAACTGAAAAGAAAAAAACAAGCCCAGTAGTCTATAATTCTGTTAATAAGGAACAAAGCTACTTTAACAGTCGGGACCCACTGTTGAAAAATATTATGTATTCTTGAATATCTAATGCTCTAAATCTAAATATTTATTTAACACATTGCCATATTTAAATCTTTTCTTTAGAAATAAACATGCTCACAACAGTATTTCTTCAATTACCCTACAATTTCATCATTACAAAAATAGGTACTTTAACGAAATTGCACACTTTAATAACCAAAAAAATGCTAATATTGTAAGTAATTGTATTTAAAATCAACACCGTTTCTTTCACAACCAAAAAAACACATTTCTTCAACTCACCAGAAGTCTTCCCCGGCTGGCCGTACATATAACCAGACTCTGGCGTGGCGTTAGTGTGAGGTCGAGCATGTTGCGAGCCGTCGTCCCGGAACACTCCCACTGATATCCCGCCCCCTCCACCAGCCACCAGCAAAGGCACCGCTTGACCTTCCTTGTCCAGCTACAAAAGGTAATAGCTAGATTTAGAGGAATCAAATAAAAACTGAAAGAAAAAAAGGATTAATGTATCATCATCAGCAGCCTCAATAATGTACCCACTGCTGGGATACATGCCTTCCTTATGGATGGAAAAGGGAGATTGGGCCATGACCCACCATCCCCAACGACTCGTCATCTCGGAAAACTCCCACCGACATCCTGCCCTCATCACCGGCCACTAGTAAAGGTGCTTGCCCATCTTTGTGTATCATCTTTTTTGCTATCTTTGTTCATCGAGAATCAGAGTTCTAGCTTTAGGAAAAAATTTCACCAGAATAAAAATACCTAATGTTTAAATCTATACTTAGCAGACTGGTTTTGATAGTGAATCAAAAAAAGAATTGAAGGGACTGATGTTTGTCAATGATTTAAATTCTGAAAAAAGTGGATATATTTAGTTCTTTTGCGAATTCAGTAAAAAAACTAAATTAAAAATTAAATTTTCAAATTGCCGCGAAAACGTTTCTTTAGACATTTTGGGACCTCACTAGTCGTGTGAAGCCACACGTCACATGACTGTCATTAAAACGTCAAACGATACAATGTAATGTCAGTTTGGCGGGAAGTTTACTAGTTTGTGACGTCATTTTAGTCTTGGGCAATCCCAGACGTTTGCCGTCATAAATAATTTATATTTAATGAATCTAAAAAAAAGTTATGTATTACTTGTTCTTTTATTATAATATAATCGCTGCTAATATTCATATTAAAAACAGATGCCAACAAATGGTATATTAATTTTCTTATTGTCAAATAATTCATTTATTTTGATTGTGAATGTATTGTCATTTGATTGTGAAACATATTTACCAGAAACACGTAAGTGCCGCCGCCTCCACCACCGCCGCCGTCAGTCACGTGAGTGTTGCGGACTTCGTGAGTTTTACTCGTGAACACTATTGAAGTGTCGTTCTGCTTCTTCGAGCACTCTTGGCTCTCTTGGGCTGATAGGGTCTGTGGGTAAACCGCGATTATGTAGAAGACTGCCGGTGAGTTTTATTTTATTTCGACAGATATTAATAAATCATCTATATAGAAGGTAAATATTTACAGAATCTGCTCGCTACACAAGCTTTGTTTTAGATCTATCTTCTTCTTTTAGATGGCGATTTTCTGTTCTCGATAAAATATTAGAAGTTAGATTTGGAGTTCACCTCGTAGAATATTGTGAATCGAAATCATAATTTTATTTGATCATAAGTCAGGTGCAAATCAAAACTAAATAATTTTTTATTTTGCTTACTGATGTGTTTTTATAACGATCTTATTCATCATAACAAAATCACATTTTTTTAATATTGCATAACCTATTAACTAAATTAAAATATAAGGAAATTCTGATTTTCATTTAGACAACTAATTAAATATTTATTAGCTTACTCTATCTATGGGCTTTAAAGAGCTTTGTTATCATCATAACCATATTGCTTTTTTTTAAATCAACTGTTATTTGAGTGTATTTCGATGATTTCCTTGTTGAATTAAAAACAACAAGTGTTTACTTATGTGTATTAAAGATTTCCTTTTTGAGTGTAGGACAAGTGTTTTTTTTTTATTATTTGTATTTAAATGTTTTTTTTTGTTGAGTGTAACACAAGTGTTTAATATGCTGATTTCCTTGTTGAGTGTTAAACAAGTGTTTAATTATGTGTCCTTTGCTATAGAGTTTATATTTCAGGGTGATTTATACATGGCTACTGACCTTCTTGCATGCGTTGAGTCCCTGCTGTCCCACTAGCATGTAGAGGTGTTCACTGCGATGCAACTCGAACAACCCTCGAGCCTGCGCCCCGTGAGAAACGCCCGCCCATCCCGACCCCAGCCCGCCCGACGCCCCCGTCGCTATTATACTGCGACACGAGAACAGTGAAGTTAGCAACGAGTTGCGGTATAACTCGAACAACCCTCGAGCCTGCGCCCCGTGAGAAACGCCCGCCCATCCCGACCCCAGCCCGCCCGACGCCCCCGTCGCTATTATACTGCGACACGAGAACAGTGAAGTTAGCAACGAGTTGCGGTATAACTCGAACAACCCTCGAGCCTGCGCCCCGTGAGAAACGCCTGCCCATCCCGGCCCCAGCCCGCCCGACGCCCCCGTCGCTATTATACTGCGACACGAAAACAGTGAAGTTAGCAACGAGTTGCGGTATAACTCGAACAACCCTCGAGCCTGCGCCCCGTGAGAAACGCCCGCCCATCCCGACCCCAGCCCGCCCGACGCCCCCGTCGCTATTATACTGCGACACGAGAACAGTGAAGTTAGCAACGAGTTGCGGTATAACTCGAACAACCCTCGAGTCTGCGCCCCATTAGAAACGCCCGCCCATCCCGACCCCAGCCCGCCCGACGCCCCCGTCGCTATTATGCTGCGACACGAGAACAGTGAAGTTAGCAACGAGTTGCGGTATAACTCGAACAACCCTCGAGTCTGCGCCCCATTAGAAACGCCCGCCCATCCCGACCCCAGCCCGCCCGACGGCCCCGTCGCTATTATACTGCGACACGAGAACAGTGAAGTTAGCAACGAGTTACGGTATAACTCGAACAACCCTCGAGCCTGCGCCCCGTGAGAAACGATTATACTGGGACAACACGAGTGTTAAATTAGTTATGAGCGCAATAGGGATGACGATGGGGTAAATTAAACGAAATTCTAATTAGTCTGTTAGATTTAAAAAAAATGTGGCCAACTAATTTTTCTTTTGTCAGTTAACCGCGTCTTAATTTGAGAGTATACCTGTATAATGTTTTGATTCACATTATCAATCAATAAAAAATAAAATCTATTTTAACTAAAATATAAAATGAAATACAATTAAATAAAAACTACTGGTCCGATACTTTTTGATTATCTACATAGACGACGAAAAAGTTAGTCGTCAATCCCAATAATACCATCCCGAGCCAAGCTAGCCTTGCTATAATACCGCGACAACACGAGTGTGAAGTTAGCAACGAGTGCAATCATACTCGCCCATTCCATTTGTTTATAATAACTGCTTATCCAATAAGTAACCATAATTGTGGTGTACGTATTGATAAGCAGTCACTATAAACTTTGTTAAAATTATTCTTCTGTATACACAATTAAATTAATCGTGTGAAACTCGAAAGAAGTTCGGAAATAAATACTATATCACATTGTCTGTAAACTGCACTGGTTCTAGGGTGTAGTGAATGGAGCGATAGTTCCAAACACCAACTTAGCAAGGGGCGCTAAAAGTCAAATTCAAAAAACTTTCCAAAGGGAATGTGAAAGCGTCGCCCAAGGAGCTTTCAAAAACAAACTTGCTCAAAGGCTTTGGTTAGTATTATTTTTAATTTTAACAAAAGAATTGTCTGTAAATTGAATTAAAACAGATATACTCACGTATAAAGCCCCTCGGCAGGCACCTCCCAAACTTGTATGCCCTGATATGGCGGCGATTGTACCACGGCCACACTGACCGGCGTATGGTTGTACGCCGCGTCGCACATCGACTGGTTAGGACCGTAGCGGCCCGTGGCACCGCACGTGGTGAAACGGTAATCTATGGAGACAACATATTGTCTTAAATACTGTACGAATGGTTAAATTTTGATAGTGAAAACTCGAGAAATGGTAGCCAAACACGTGTTGAATCGAATAATTTTAGTTTTTTATTTAATAATGTCATCGATATAAACTGGTATTGGTTTTACAACGATTTTCTATTGTTCACACATCCAGTGGAATGAAAAAGTAAACGAATAGGTACGTTTTTGTCGTGAAACAACAGCCCAAGAAGTACACTACATGTGGCTGTATGCCGCGTAGCACATCGACTGGTTGGGCCCGTAGCACTTAAGGGGGTAATCTAGACGAATGAAAAAGTGAACGAATAGATACGCTTTTTTAATGAAACAATAGTATACACTACACGGAATAGGAGTTATGTCAAATGGCGTAAATGGTAATGCTATATGTCTCATCGGCTACGCTGACCGGCGCATGATCGTACACCGCATCGCAATCGACTGTTTGGGACCGTAGCCACCCGTGACACCACTCGTGGTGAAAAGTAGTCTATGGGAAACACGGGTTGTATCAAAGAGGGATACGAACTCGGGGCTGATCGCCTAACAGGATTGCTATGGCTATAAGTTACGATTTCGTTTTGTTATTTATGACCCCCAACAGTTTTAAAATACCTCACGCCCATTTTTTTTAATATTGTTATTAGCAATACAAAAAAATGAGCTTGAGGCATTTGAAGATCTTGGGCGGTCAGAAATAACAAAATATAATCGTAAGCAATATCGATAGCCATAGCGATCCCGTTAGGCGATTGGCCCCCAGGTAAGTTTTGGCAATGAAAACTCCTAGATTATCTACTGGTAGTAGAGCAAAAACTACTGAGAAATGTTTGCCGAATACTAGTTGGATCAAAAAGGATTCGAATATATACGTTCTTTATTTAATAATGTCATCGATATAAACTGGATATAAGGACTGAACAATCAAAAAATTAAAAATCGTTTAAGTGGTCAGGAATACCACAAGGGTCTCATCAGGGACCATTACTATTTATTATTGTGCACTGTGGTGTGTAATCTGTAAAGTAATCTGTGGGCAAGAATGATAGAGGATCTATAACTGTATAATATAATTTACATCTATGTATTACCATGGAATCAGATCGATCACAAATTGTCTGTTCATTGCCTATAATAATATTGAAACGACATATTGACGACAGAGAACAGTTAGTACATTCTATTTATTTTACCGGATCTTTTAGCTTACAAAAATCAGGAAAATCCTTTAAGGTTTTACTTACATATCTCATCAGCGAAGGAAGGATGAGGCGTAGTCTTCTCTTCGAAGACTGGATCGTAATAATTATAGTCTCCCAATTCTTCAGGATCTACGTTCAGCCCGAAGCATTCCGGGGCCATAGAGAAGTCATCTATAGCAGAATCTGAATAGATGCGCATACCCATGCGAGTCTTGAACTGGAGATAATATCTGGAATGGAAAGATTTAATCAAACATTTGTCTTTGAAATTATTATTCGATGAGCTCGATGGTGCATTGTACGACCTCCGTGGCTGAGTGGTTTGTACCCCGGGTTTCAAGGTGTCGAGTCGCCTACTCGAGAGGTTCCCGGGTTCGAATCCCGGTGGGGGCAGATGTTTGTGACGAGTATTTATTTTATTTTATTTCCAGTCATGGATGTCGAATATGTATTTCTATATAAATATACTTATATATGTATCAGTATATTTATTCTATCCGTTAACCTAGCATACAGTGCTTATTTTGAGGTTAGGCTAAATTTTTATTTATTTATTTGTTTAGGGCGTTTGATCTATGATCGTAAAAGTTATATCTTTCGCAATGGCAGATCTCAGAATGGGGAATCAAAAATTTTCGGAGGGCACGTTAAGCCGTTGGTCCCTGCTGCATTTGCAGTCATTAGCACCCACCAATCCCGCATTGGGCTCAAATATTGGGCAATAGTTCTTTCTCCCTATTCAAATTCCATCTCTTCGGTGGATATCAAAACCAGTTTCGAGAGAACCATCCTTAAAGAAGGCCTGTGTTCCAATCCAAGAGTAAAGACATTAATAAGTTGATGATGATAATATTTTTTCCTTAAGAGATATAAAAATGCATTATATTTTAATCAAATAGAAGTAAAGTCTCCTTCTGGTGACGTTGTACAGAAATATGGAGACGCGGTACTAGTTCTCAGATATAGATTACATAAAAAGTCCAGCATTTCAAATGGTCAAATAATTTAATAGAAAAAGATACTGGGATGATGTAAGTGAAGCCATTCTTCACATGCAATATGAGCACTAAGTTGCGCAATAAACCAGCCGTTAAGACGAAGAACTTTCATAGTAAATTAGATCCCTGTTTTTAACATTATCATCATCAGCTTTTTAATGTCCTCGCTGTTGGAGCTCAGGCCTTCCCTATGGATGGAATAGGGAGATTGGGCCGTGACCAACCACGCGGGCCCACTGCTGGTTGGTGGGTGCTAACGACTGCACTGCATTCCAAAGCACGGCGAAGTGAGATATAATAAATTACGGCCACCCATCCAATGGTCGGTCCGTTGCGAAAGTTGCTTAACTTCCACGATCACAGGCCAAACGCGTTATCCACCTGCGCCATCGAGTTCCTCCAAAGAAAATAGCCAAGAAGTTTAAAATTAGCCATAGTAAATTAGATCCCTGGTTATACAGGACGTCCCACGGCTACCTCACACGGAGGGAAAGTATATTAAATATTGAAGATAGGATATTTTACTGAAAGAAGACATCATTTTATTTTCAATAATAACAAGCACTGCATTTACAGATTTTTAAAAAATCGCCTGCTACAACTGGGATTCAAATTCGTGAAATTTCGAAAAAATAAACACAGCATATTTTATGATAACCATCGAAAGGGTTAATCACAAGGATTATTTTTTGCTAAATAACATAGCATTTTAAATGAAAGGAATACCTTATTACGTGATAAAAATAATAAAGTGATATACAAACTGTAGTACGTAACTTTCAGTAAAATATCCTATCTTCAATATTTAATATACTTTCCCTCCGTGTGAGGTAGCCGTGGGACGCCCTGTATAACTAAACAGAATATGATGTAGACAAACCTTCTGGTGACATTAGGCAGAAATATAGAAGCCCGGTACCAATTCTCGCCCTTGTCTTTGGTGGAAAACCAGAGAGAAGTGGTATGATTCCCCCGCGACGTAAGTTCCACCACGTCCACGCTTAGGGAGCCGTAGTTCCGACCGTTCTGTTGGTAGTAGAAGCGGATCTGTTGGAAGGAAAATAGTCTGTCAAATAATGGTTAAAATGGGATCTAATGGAGGGAATGTTCAAGATATTTTTTCTTTCAATTACGCAGTAATGTTATTATTTATCGTTCAAACACTACAAAACAGTACACTTAGTACGAGTTTTACGTACGTACAATTACGAAAACTATGATAGTTTTCCTGAGCTCGCACTCGTACTAAGGGTAGGTACTGATTTTATTGTTTTCGTTTCAATACAAATAAACAGTGTTTAAATTCTATCATTAAATCATTTGCGTCTTCTTAAATTTTAAGTATATTTGGTTACTTTTCACCTAATTGGACATAGGAATAGACATTATATAGAATTACGAAAACTATGATAGCTTTCGTGAGCTCAAACTCGTACTAAGGGTACAGATCACAAAGGACATATTTTTTGCTTAGAACCAAAACAGTGTAGAAATTTTGTATGAAATCTCATTGATGTATTGTTTTTCATTAGTGCACTGTTTTTTACCAAATAGGTTTAATGTATCCCACGATACGATCAAAAAGATACTAGCTGTACCCCTAGCACGATACATTATCGAATTCGAATAATTTGCAAACCGAAATGTCAATGTCAAATTTTGTATGGAAACTTGAACAGCAGCGGCACAAAGTACGTAACGAGAACTAAAAATCAGTACACATTTGACAATGACATTTCGGACTCGCAAACGATACGAATTCGATATTGGTTCGTGCTAGGGGTACTGGTCATTCGTCATCTTGATAACTGAATTCGTAACAGTTAGTTCTTATTTTATATAATAGATGACGCTACTACATATTAGTGTTATTTTCTACTCGGCGATGTTAAGTTCAAAATAAAAGCAGATTTAGACTACCTTGACATATTGTTCCTATAGTGCAATATCCTAGTAGGTATATGGTGATTCACACTCTTCACACCAATAATAACTGTACTTTTATTTGTAAGTTTTATAATTTTTTTGGGAAGATGAATATTTAATTAAGCTTTGCTTTCATTAAATTTTTGTTGTATTAGGTATATTTTGTCACGGTAAATTTGCAGTTGAAATACAAATAAGACACAAACACGCATTTAATTTCAATTATGTTAAATTAGGAATAAGATTAAAAATTTTGTAGCAAAAATTGTTCACTGGAGGTGGGCGTTAATAGCTGCGACACAATTTAATAACTAATGCAGTTGTTATCAATCACTATTGTCATTGTATCTTTGTTATGGTTTGAATAAATATTTATTTCATTTAATTTTTCCGGCGATTACTCACCATACAACAATTATAATATTTCGAGCTCATATTCCCGTGGACTTTGGGTGGTGGATTGAAGACCAACGTTCTCATAACGGCCGTAGAAGCAAAGTCCGCCTTTTCCTTGTTGGGTCCAGTGACGTTCATATTGACGAAGAAATAGTATCCCACGCATTGGGAAAGGCTGAAGTTCATATGCGCCGGGATTAGGGGAGGAAACACCTGAAAATAAGAGAGAGACGAACTTGTTAGCAATCCATGGATTCACCGTGCCCTTGCCTGGTCTATCGTGTGGGAGAGAAACTCTGAGCAGTTCCCGGGACTTGCGACTAGTGCTGCCAGGTGTCCCGATTTGCGCGGGACATCCCGATTTTTAGGGGTCTGGAAACGCCGATTTGTTCCTGAACGGGACGCTTGTGGCGGCGACATCTATATGCCCTACATATATACAACGGATGGAGGAAATCATTACTCACCATCCTCAAGAGATGGCGTTACCTGCACTGCGATCAATATTAGAATGGAAGCCTACATCGCGCAAATGAAATTCGAAGGCCCACTCTTCATATATGCGATGCCCGACTAACATCAGCCGGGCCGTGGCCCCCGAGCTAACATCACCCAGCTCGGAGGAAGATCTTCCCCTTTGGCCTTCCTACATGGTAAATGTACCGATTAATCAAAAAATTAAATTTAGGTAATTAATATAATACTGTACCTGCACTAGTACTCTAAAACGCAATAAATTAAATCCAGACTTAAAAACCCCTTGTTTTTTGTACTGTACTGTCCCAATCTGCAATCCTAAATCCCGATTTTTTTGACCTCGTGTACCGATTTAAAACAAGTCGGACCTGGCAACACTACTTGCGACCCAGGTGTACGTTTATTTTGGTTTTCGCGGACGGAAAATCAATACGTTTTTCTGGCAATTTTCCTCTTATTATTCGAGCTCTACTGTACATCCAGGCTTCATGTATGTCATAAATCAATCCTGAATAGTTTCTCTACAAACTTATCTATATATTAGATGTGTTAATTGTACTAAATACGATAAAACGCAAACTATGAAAAAATTAAAATTATTTATGTTTTTTTGTTAAGTATTAACTGCGTGGATTTTTTTCTAGTAAAACTTTTCTTTAGATTTAAACATCTAGCACTTAAATGCTTAAAAAAACTATAATTGCTATTTCTTCTTTCAAATGTTTAATACTTGAAAAACTATTCATTGGACATTGTGGGTTACCTACAATGCGAAGAGATGGCGCTGCCTTGCAGCTTAAGGCTAGGAAAATTTCGACGCGGCCATCGGGACCGTGGTAGCATAATTGGTCAGTGCATTCGCCCGGATTGCGAAGGGTGCGGGTTCGGGTCCCGTCCGCTGCCTGGCCCGCGTGTTTTTTTTAGTAAAACTTTTCTTTAGATGAAAATTATTTTCTCAACTCATGGCAGACATCATCCACTTCACCACTTACACGAGACGAGAGGTTCAGGAGGCCCCCTTTGAGATGCGCATCCTCACCTTTACTGCTCGAGCTGCACTTAGGGTTACTATTTAAAAATTTGAAAAGTCCTGACAAAAAGCCGGACATTTCGATAAATGTCCGGACATTTTAATCACAAAATGTAAACATCACTTACTTAGTTACAGTGATATTATACGCGTGGTAGCAGACGCTCGCATCGCGAGGGGGATCTCGTTGTTGATTTTCAAAGATAATTTATATTTTGTTTTTAATTGATGAGAACTTAATAAAGATTTTGACTTATTTCATATAACTTAATAAGTAGTTTTATTCATATTCCATCTAATAAAAAATCCGGACAAAGGGCAAAAAGTATGGACAAATCCGGACGGATGGTAACCCTAGTTGCACGTTAAAAGTTATAGATGTTAGCCGTAAAAAGTTCTAGTTTTTATTTTGGGTTGATATATTGGTGACCGAAAATTTACTATTTCGACCTACTCCATATTTCGGAAGGCACGTTAAGCCGCTGGTCCCGGCTGCATCTGCAGTCGTTAGCACCTACCAATCCGCACTGGGCCCGCGTGGTGGGTCATCGGCCAATCTTCCTTTTCTTTCAGTAGGGAAGGCCTGTTAGTACCGTCGTTGTCCGGATAAAGCCGGACATAATTAGGCTTTTTATATAATCATAAAAAATCCAAAAAAGTATGACTGCCTAAACTGCCTTGTCAAAACAAAGTTCTGTGTTACTAGTGTTCGTAGTTTGTGTTTGTTATTCGATTAAACAATGACTCTATGACCATAGTTACTAGTAGCAGTTATACAGAAATATATATATATATATATATATATATATATATATATATATATATATATATATATGTACTAGAACAATTAACCTAAAACTACAAAACCTAAAAAATATAATTATAATAACTGAAATATATTTATTATAAGGAGTCCCTTTAGGCAAGGTTCTGAAGATACTGGCAGCGTTCCCCCTTTGAATAGCTAGACTAATACTTCGTCCGAGGTAGCTGCCAGCTCTTCCTTCTTTTTGCTTTTTCCTTAAAAAGCCTTACAGCGCCAGGACCCCACAAACCAAGGGTCTCGACACCGAATGAGACAAAATCATATTCGTAGCCTAGACCCCTGTATTTGCATGCTTTGGCTTTTTCAGCCTCTTCACAAGCCGCACTAGCTCTGTTGTTGTTGTTTATGTTTGTTGCTTGTGCTTGTTGTTTGTGTTTATTCGTTTGTGTTGGTGTACTCACCTCCCTTTGCGTGGGGTATGGGTCGGGCGGGCCGCACGTGTGGTCGTAGTTGGGCCCGGTCTTGTCGGTGGGCGTGGGCCCGTTGTGGCGGGACCATTTGAGAATAGGCCTGTGGGCGTTAACATTTATCATCATCATGTGATGCAGAGTGACGACCTACGTGGCCTAGTGGTTTTTACGCCGAGTTTCAAGGCCGCCAACTCGAGATGTCCCGGGTTCGTATCCCGGTGGGGGCAAAAGTTTGTGTGATGAATACAAGCATTGTTCGGAATGGACCCCTAAACTACTTCACTGATTTTAATCAAATTTGCACACCGTATGTATATAAAATGGTAGTAAATCATTAATTGGATTGGCCGTATGTAAATAGTTTTTATTGCTTTTCCTATTAAGAAGCTATTCACATGTAGGGTTACCATTTAAAATTTTGAAAAGTCCTGGCAAAAAGCCAGACATTTCGATAAAAGTCCGGACATTTTAGTCACCAAATGCAAACATCACCCACTTAGTTACAGTGATATTATCGCGTGGTAGCAGACGCTCGCATCGCGAGGGGAGTCTCGTTGTTGATTTTAAAAGATAATTTATATTTTATTTTAACTTAATGAGAACTTAATAAAGATTATTTGACTTATTTGATATAATACAATAAGTAGCTTTACTCATATTCAATGTAATTAAAAAAATCCGGACAAAGTCCGGGCATGTCCGGACAAATTCGAACGAATGGTAACCCTACTCACATGGAAACCTTATGGAAACATATTTTATTGAATAATCCAAGAAAAATACTTACTGTGGTATATTTTCGAAACCGCAGCTGTCTAACTCGAAATTGCAGTATGAGCCGTAAGGCATTTTATCTGCAACAAATAAAAGCATAAATGACACACCTCGATACCAAATAATATGCGAAATTAAAACGATAATTTAGGTTTTATTCAATGAAATGAAAGGAAATTATACTTTAATCAAATTGATTTATTGTAAGCTCGTTTGAATCGTCCAATGTCTTTTCCTACCTCCCATTCAGGACATCTTTAAGCTGATTGTCAATTCTATCACATACTGTCTTATTCCAAAATTTTCATATCTTGCACTAGAGTTAGTTAATCTAATTCTTAATTTAGACCTAACAAAAAGATTCTGGTACGGAACTGCTGGGGCACAGGCCTTCCCTATAATAGGGAAGTTTGGACCATGACCCACAACGCGGGCCCAGTGCGGATTGGCGGGTGCTAACGACTGCAGATGCAGCCGGGACCAACGGCTTAACGTATCTTCCAAAGCACGAAGTAACTCGAGATAGAAGATTTTTGGTCACCCATCCAATGACCGACCATTGCGAAAGTTGCTTAACTTCAACGATTGCAGCCGAACGCACTAGCCACCTGTGCCATCGAGCTAACATATGTTTGTTATCATTAAACTTACCACAATTTTTACTTTCATCTGTGCCATCATCGCAGTCCTTCACCAGGTCACACACCTGCTGCAACTTGATGCAAGAGTCTTTCTGTAAAAAAAAACAAGCTAGTACTTACTCACACTTTTGGTTAAAAATCGCACAAAATATTGTATGACGATTTTCAGCTCATTGAATATGTCTAAGAGAGACTGACTGAATATCCTACAGAACACAGAAAAGAAAAAAAGAAGGTGAAGTCCTCGCGTCTGCACTTCACCTTCACTTAACATCAGGTGGGGTGGAGGCATTTGTCGGACCTATCTAAATAAAAAAAAAAAAAAAAGTAAAGAAAGAGTAGAACCGACAAAACAAAGTTTTTGCGGGAACTGATGTCGTCGGCTCACCCCGACTTATAGATAATAAGCTAATCAAACGACGCGACATCAAACAATCGATCCAATTAGTGCTCACACCGGAGAGCAACGACGCAATCAGGACAAAGTTTTGGTCAAGTTATGAGCATTTGCTTACACATTACACATTTCTGTGTACTCATTGAAATAAGAAAAAAAACCTGAATAAATGACAGTTATTTTCGTAGCAAATTTAAAATGGTCAAGTTATAGTCATTTTCGTACAAACCTAGCACCAAGAAATGAATAAATAAATAAATATTTCCAACACTTACACCAATTAGCCTAGCCCCAAAGTAAGCGCTGTAAGGCTTGTGTTATGGGATGCTAGGGTAACGGATAAGTATATTAATATAGAAATAAATATTTTACATCCATGACTGGAGTACAAATGCTCGTATTCAACATACAAACATTTGCCCCCACCGGGATTCGAACCCGGGACCTCTCGAGTCGGCGACAACATGAAACCCGGCGTACAAAGCACTCGGCCACGGAGGTCGTCAGAATGTTCGTTTATTACAAGAATCGGCTGCCGAAGAATTTTACCGTTTTTACCCGACTGCGCAATGTAAGAGCGCGAAGCGCGACGCGCAGTCAGGGTATATATAGTGTTTAACAGTCTATATAAGTATGTATGTTCCTTTGTGGCACACTAGAGACCAAACGCGTGGACCGATTTTGATGATTCATACATCAATCGATTCGTCTTAATGATGAGAGTGGTACTAAAGATATATGATAGTAATCAAAATTCAATATGGGAACAATTAGGCGCCATATTGTTACTAAGTAAAAAAAATAAGTTGACGAAATATGTCGAGTGGGGCATCATTGTCAAGATAATCGAAAATCATAGGTTCCTTACATTTTTTTTAATTTTATCTGACTGTTTAGGATCTACAACTATTTAAAGTTGCATATCAACGATTTTAGCTGACCGGTGAGACATTCACTATTGAACACCGGCAATTCTGGCAAACACTCCACCATCCATACAGTCTACAGCGACGTGAGGCAAGCTATGTGTCTCAAGTCCAAAGAATTATTCCCAAAGAAGACCTTTGAAGACGCTTGGATAACTTTTTATTGGTGATTTTTTATTGATTCCTAGACACCTTCGAAGTACCTATTAACAACTTCAAAGTCTATATAATGAGGTATAACTATTTTAACTTTCAACTCACGTTCATAATCTTGCATTTCAGCTGACCAGCTAAACACTCGCCGTTGAACACCGGCGGTTCCGGCAAACACTCCACCATCCTTATGTTGTCAATAGCGATGTGTGGCAGACTATGAGCAAGGCTCACGTGTGCAGGCCTCGTGATCTCCACTATGATGCGGACCTCCTGGAGGACTTTGCCGATCATGAACTGCATGGGGTACCATCTGGGAGAGAGAATAGATTGAGTATTAAGATAAATTGGTTAAGGTTTTTTTGTGGGTTCCTGTGGTTATGCTCCGGAGATTGCCAAAGAACATTTATTGGAGCAAGGTTAGACAGATGGTTTAGCAGTTTAGCCAGTGGATGTTGGTTTTTCGCTATTGGGTACGAAAAACATAGGAGAATTTAATACAGTACCAGTTCCAACAGTGAAAAGTGCTTTTGCAAGATAACAATTTTATAATATTGCTCCTCGAGTATACAATAAGCTTTTGAAGACTAAGAGAAATATAAAGCACGTCAATAATTACTCTATAAAGAATATAATCCTAGATTGGCTAAATAGACTAGAATACAATGAAGTAGAACAACTTCTAAATATATAACATTGACAGAAAAAGCGATAAAACAAATGCACATACGCTACACAACACGAACGCAGGTACATATACATACACACTAACACACACACACAGACACACACACAACACACACACACACACACACACAACACACACACAACACACACACACACACACCGGTTAATGCTATACCTAGGTACTTTTTTTTTTAGGATTATTTTTATATAATTTTTATTTAGTAGTTTTAAATTATTGTAGCTAGTATTGTAGTAAAAATAGTGGGGAGAGCACTGTCTTCTGGTCCTCAGGGTAACCTTTTCCAGAGGACATGGTTCACATTATCATGTACTAAAATGTAAAGTGGTTCCAATAAATTATTATTATTATTATTATTATTGCACTGCACATACGGCAAAATCTTTCACAAATGATGTTGTAAATCCTTAGATTTTTTTTATTTATTTATGGACCATCAACACAGCTTTATTAATACAAACAAACTTACACATATGCTTAAGTATTACGATATAATATAACTGTAATTAAAGATGGCCTCATCATGCGCTAAACAGTAAAAAAAAGAAAAAAAAATGTAACATTTTATTATGTAATTAAAATATTTTAGTGTGACTTAGTATCATATTAGTTGATTTGATCTTAGAGGTAGACATATGTAGTTAAAGGAATGGAGTTTATAGCGTGAGTTTAAAATGAAGTTATTAGCTATTATTATATTCTTTAAGTGTGTGTACAATGGTTTTACATAGATCAATGAATGAATTTAAGCTTGATTTCTTTGGGATGAGCTCAGTTATGATATACGGATCGATTTGATGGTAAAGCAGAAGTGGGTATGTTCCCCCGCACACGTATGTAGCGGGGGCATTCCCGGATTAAGTGGTTAAGAGTTTGAAATTTAATCGAGTCGCAGGTGCATTTGTCGTTTGCGGCTAACTCGAACGCATGTAGGTACTCAAACTCAAAAATCAGTTATTCAGTCTAGGCTGTTACAAGCACTTGTGAAGGTCGAGAAGCTGCGCCATCCATTCGCAAAACTACGGCGGGAGACCTAGTACTGAGAAGAACCGGCAAGAAACTCAGCAAGGGCTTTTTTTCTCCCTATTGGAAAATGTCTTCAGAGATATTTCTGAAGTCACCTTCCATTACTTCATTTAGAATATAGATTCTGAAGTCACCTGACGGTGATAACCAATGGAGCAAATACAAAGGTGATAGTCGTGGCCGGTGAGTATTTGCGTGAGGTGGAAAGAAGGCTCGACATGACTGAAGAGCTCCTTATTGACTCAAGATCGGGTAGCAGATTAATTGTGTGGGTGTCAGTAGTGGAGATTTTGTATCGGTCGTTGTGAGTGGTTCCATTAACATACGTCTGTTCAATTTGACGTACTTAGCTCATTGGGAACTGGGCAAAGTCCGAACTTTTTTCGCTGTTTGCAGCGCTTTTAGCCGTGGTGTCAGCTGTCTCGTTACCATCAAGACCCACATGTGCCTTCACCCATGCAAATTTCACGCAACCAGTGAGTAGAAAAATGAGGAAATGTATATTAGTAGCGAAAACTTGGAGAGCTGAGTGGTTGTCGGAGAGAAAAACGTCGGACATAATTACATGGTAGGACAGATGAAGATAGAAATTTATGGATTTATCAGCACTTATTAAACTCAGGAAAATATTACAACTTTACCTTATAGTGCTGTGCTTAGTGATTACTTTAGGGCCTGGGTTCCGAACCTAGGGTGATTACCCCTCCGGGGGTAAATCAGCCATACTTCGGGGGTAACAAAGAACCTAATTATTTTGTCAAATCTAAATAATACTACTAAATAGAGCATGCGCTCCTTCTTGCTAGTGAGCCCGCGGGGTGCTGAGTACATTAGTAGAGACGAAGATGAAGCGGCCGAATTGGAATTTCTTGGACTGATGATAACATTTTAAAGTCGGGGTAAAATCTGTTTCCCTAATAGGTTACAGGGGTAGCAGTATTGGAAAGGTTAGGAAACACTGTTCTAGTTCATATTGTGTTTGATGTTTTTTTTCATTCTTTATATAAATTGTAGTAGTAAGTTTTTGTTTGTAGTCATATGTAACTTTAATATAACATCAGATGCGCGCTGTTAATTATTTATTTTTTATATACAGGGTGTAAAAAAACCTATGACAAAAACTTAAACTACGCATTCTTTACACCCAAACAAGACACTGCATTAGGGCTTTTAAAACCTTTAGACGCTTGCAATACCAAAATTGTTACACGCAGAATAATTGTTTCACAGCTACAAGGGCCGTTGACACCCTGACCACATCGCCTACCCCGTTGAGCCCTTACTCATCGATAGAAATAGCACCACAAAAAGGTATTTTTAGTTCAAGTTCATTGTTTTCTTCTATAAGAAGGAGGCTACTTTCCTAGTTCTATGTTTCTAGTACTACTTACTTTACTTGGATTTTCCCACGGCACGAAATATCAGTACAGTGGACGAATAGTTGCCATACTATTAAAAGCTACTCACTCTTCAAAATTGTTTCCCGCCACCTCTTGCAAAATCCACTGCACTTCGGACATTGTGGACTCCGACACCAGACGAATACTGGCATTCTGCATCTTGCTCTGATGTAGTTTCGCCTCGAACTGTGTGAAAGGGATGGATGTTACACTAATGAACATTTGCATCAAACTTAGGAGCTTCCTAAACTTATGTAGCTATTATACTTAGTGGTTAGCCCAGGTACATATATTCACAGTAATCTGGCAAAGAAGAATTGAAACATTAGTGCGAGGGCCAGATTACTGTGGACACATGTATAAGTTTAATTAAGTTTTATTCACGCGCCCGCAAAATATGCACGTAATAACAATAGCATTTATTGCTTTTAAATTTTAGGTTATTATATTTTCTATATATATAAAACTCAAAGGTGACTGACTGACTGACATAGTGATCTATCAACGCACAGCCCAAACCACTGGACGGATCGGGATGAAATTTCGCATGCAGGTAGATGTTATGACATAGGCATCCGCTAAGAAAGGATTTTGATCAATTCTACCCCCAAGGGGATAAAATAGGGAATGAAAGTTAGTATGAAACTTTGTCAATTTTAAACCAATCTGGCTTTGCATGAAGGTATAAAAAGAGTCATAGATGAATATCATTGTGTATAATACAAGCCTGAGAACAAATACTGTAGTCTACACTTTAGCTCTACACCGAAGCGAAGCGAGGGCGGGCCGCTAATCTTATAATAAAAGTGCTTAATGGTGGTTTTTGTTAGGTAGTTTAGAGTAATAATTATTGTTGTTAAAGCTATGAAAATAATAATAAAAATCCACATTGATTTGAAGTTCCAAAAAATTCTAATGGCGTCTTCTATTAGCAGCATGTGCCGCTCCATGATTTACGTACTGCGGGCTTTAGATCTATAGTTACGGTAGTATTCTCTGCTTTAGTGAATAAGGGTTTACAATAGTGGTATATTAGAGTACAAATACAATTACAGATGTACTCCAGTTCTTTGTGAGCTCTTGTAGGGTCCAAGAAGTTGCCACAGAAATAACGGGAAATCATAAATAGATAATATCACTGAAGTAAAGAAGTGTAAAAAAGAGGTTTTTAACTCGCTCAAGAACATTTACCTTAACAGGTCACCTTCTAGGTCTAACAGAGTTACAACAGATTTTTTATCTATAAAATAAGAACTATAATAACACACACACTTGAACTTCTTATACGGTTATTGGGTAAAGTTGTGCGGCTACTATCCCAACTATATCTTAGAGAGCGTTATAGTACTCTGTTATACCACATAAAAAGAATGCAAGAGCCATTAAATGGCTGTTATACCGACAGCTTAGCTGAACAAGTTATGTCTAATCAGCTAGTGTGCTAGTTGGGACTTTATTTTTCATACTGTCATGAAGCATTTTGTTTAGTTGATTAATCTCACCTTACAAAACTCCCAGAGTCCTCGGAATGGTGGTGATTTTATCACCATGTTTTCCATGGTCGGGTCCACGGGAAGGTACAAGAAGTGGCCTGCAAGAATAAAAAGGTTAGTTGTAGTATAATTTTGGATAATTAGTGTAGTAATTACAGTTATTTTTATATAACAGTCTTTTATTATTTCAACTAGGCTTATAAAAGCGCTTTTACATCCCAGTATTACTTTATGGCTACCACTGCTTCGGAAAAATAATTGGGCTAGTGCTAAGAAGAAGCAGCGCAAGAAACTCCGTCACCATGGTCAGCCTCTTTTAAAGGATTTACAATCTTCTATCTATATATCTTTATATATATAATTCTTCTGTGAGTGTGTATGTCACTGAACTTCTCTTAAACGACTGGACTTTGATGAAATTTTTTGTGTGTGTTCAAGGGGATCTGAGAATGGTTTAGATTCACAATTTTGTCCGCTGGACAACCCCTATTTTTTTAGGGCGGTACGAAGTTCGCTGGGTCAGCTAGTATATATATAAAACTCAAAGGTGACTGACTGACATAGTGGTCTATCAACGCACAGCCCAAACCACTGGACGGATCGGGCTGAAATTTGGTATGCAGGTAGATGTTATGACGTAGGCATCCGCTAAGAAAGGATTTTGATCAATTCTACCCTCAATGGGATAAAATAGGGAATGAAAGTTTGTATGAAACTTTGTCAATTTTAAACCGATCGGGCTGAGACTTTGCATGCAGGTATAAGAAGAACCATACATGAATGTCATTGTGTATAATACAAGCCTGAGAACAAAAACTATAGTCTACACTTCAGCTCTACACCGAAGCGAAGCGAGGGCGGGCCACTAGTACTGTATACAATTATAAATATTGATTTGAGCTAGGCAGTTATAACATTCCAAACATTTTTATCTTTTATATTATCTTCAATTTTATAATAGCCCTTTTTCATTAAGGTAATTTTAATATGTGCTTTGAATTTATGAATGGGCAGTTATATAATAGTTAGTGGTAAATTTTTGAAAAGTATAATGCAATTTCTCATAAATGAATCACCAATGTTATGCAGTCTGAAATTTTGGAATGGTAAGTTTATTTTTATTTTGTTGGATTGAACTTATGAAAATCACTCTTTTTTGAAAATTGGTCTATATTTTTACGATAATATAAAAGGTTATCATAAATGTACTGTGAAGCTACAGTCATTACAGTAATCTCTTAAAAGAAATCTTTAAAAGAAGATCGGGGTCTTAGGTTATAATAATAATAATAATAACATTTATTTCAGATTATTCATCCATAATGGTTAGTAACAATTATGCTTACAAATCTAGTGTTAGTAAATTGAATTCATAAAATAAAATTAGATTAAAAACAAACATATTAATAATAATACTAACAACTAAGGAGTCACCGCCGCTGTATGCAGATGGATCCAGCGCATAAGCAGCGGTGAATTCCAGCATTCGGACAGCGCGCGCACGATACTGTTTAAACTGTTATAAATGGCCCGCACTGAAGAAGAGAACACTCTTCCGCAGAACAAACACATTTTCAATATCCGCTGCTGAGCTCCACAATAATATGCCGTATGACATTAAACTATAAAAGTAGCTAAAACATACAAATCTTGCCGTTTTAATATCAGTTAACTGTCTTATCTTTCTCATTGAAAAAGCAGCGGAACTGAGTCTTGTTGACAAGGTTTCAATATGTGGAAGTTTAGAATCTAAAGTAATTCCTAGGATTTTTGTAAAACTTATGATATTCAATGGTTCATTCTTTATTATCAATTATATGGAAACCTGTCTGACATAAGGTAAGGTCAATTTAATGCACATCGTTTTATTTGCATTTAATAATAAGTTGTTAACAGTAAACCATTGAAGAACCTGTGATAGGGTGTCATTTAAGTGGTCAAAATTTTCTTTACCTCTATCAACTTTGAAAATTAGAGCACCAGCAAATAACACAATATCACATAAATCTTTTACAAAGTAAGGAAGGTCATTAATATAAATTAGAATTAGCAAAGGTCCCAATATTGATCTCTTGCGGTACACCCATAGTTAAAGATGCTCCAAAAGAATCAGTACAATTAATACATTTTTTTTGTTTTCGGCCTGTGAGATAAGAGTTCAATAAATTAAGTGAATTATTCGAAACACCATAATGTCGCAATTTTTTAAGTAAAGTTTGGTGGTCTACACAATCAAACGAAAGATCACAAAAAATACCAACAGCGTCTTGGTTACTCTCCCAAGCATCGAAAATGTGTTTTAAGAGTGCATCTCCAGCATTAGTAGTATTTCTACCTTTCGTAAAACCAAATTGCTTCTTATTGTGTAGTAATAGTTAAAGACAAAGTGAGATATCAGTTGATTAAATATGATTTTCTAAATATTTTGCTAAATATTGGTAAAATAGAAATTGATCGAAAAATTGGCGGGTCACTCTTATTATCAGCCTTGAACAATGGTATTATTTTACTTATTTTCATGAAACCAGGAAAGCAACCTAGATCAATGCATATCTTAAAAATTAATGCAAAGGGAGGAGCAATGGTGTCGATAATTGTTCCAATTATATTGACAGAAATTCCCCAAAGGTAATCGGTTTTTTCATATTTAATTCTCTAAAGGTTTTAACTGGAGTTGAGAATGGCACTCAGTCACATTCGCTTTTAAAAGAGACTCAGCAAAAATTGGCGATGAATTCAGTTCTTTAGTTGTTTCAGACGCAACATATTATGTTGCGGAATATCATTTGTTTGCACATTTCTCATCTTTATTTGAACGCTACCTAAGTTATAAGTATAGTGAAGACAGATAGATCCCTAAAATTTACAGATAAGATAACTATGAGGTTCACTAGAAACGATACAGCGCCATCTAGTAACATTTTCAAACAACTACTTTTTAAGGCTCATAATTGTACGTTGTTAAATGAAAAGGATCTGCCCACAACCTTATCGAAAATTAGTTTACCATACCAAAGTACTCCTTAAGGTCAATACTATTAAAACACGACAAAGATCCAAGTAAAATTCAAGTGTAATATGATTTTGTATTCATATGAATCCAAAAAGATAAACTACAAAAATACAATATCAAACTCTAACTTTTAATAACCTTTCTATTTTTATTTGGAAATAATTGTCTGCTCTACCCATGTCATATAAATTAATATTGTTTAACGTGTGACGTCTCTGTGTATGTGTGTTGTGTTGTGCTTTCAGAAAAGTGCAATACGTCGTCGAAGCACGTCTATTCGGTTATTTACTTTATACCACCTTAATCTGTTTCTACCGAGCAGTCTTTCTCGTGTCTCTCTCACTAATGGACATTGGCGAAATTTCTGTGTAAAACGGAGAAAGCCACAGAAACAAAAAAAAAGTTGAGAATCAAAGAAGAAATACAGTCTGAAATTAAAAAAATCATATCTCAAAACTAAGTTTGGGTGAGTTGGATCCTTTTCATTTAACAACGTCCAATTTACCTAATAAAGTAATTCACATTATTTTTTTAGGTAAATTGGACGTGGTGCATTTTATCCAATAAAAGGGGCGTGAGTACTGTGTAATGTCTTAATGTGTGTCTGATTCGTCCCACGACATTGTCACAACCGCCTACGCCTGCCGCCGGCTGTCGCTCATTACATCGCTAAAAGACTGCAAAACAATAAGCTTTAATATAAGTAATGTAAGATGGAGTTACATCTTAAGTTAAAGTCGAAATAAGTACCTAATTCAAAAATCTATCTTTCTTTATACGAACTCCGAATAACCTCGCCCAAAGTAAGAGAGGGTAACGACAAATGGATAGAAATACGTAAATTATGGTATAATTTGACGACCTCCGTGACCGAGTGGTTTGTACGCCGGGTTTCATGTTGTCGCCGACTCGAGAGGTCCCGTCTTCGAATTCCAGTGGGGGCGTGTTACCCGCGGTTTATTATATTTTCCCGCGGTAAAACGTAGCCTATGTGTTAAACCAGGGTGTCAGCTAACTCCGATAAAGTTTTATTAAAATCGCTTCAGCCGATTAGACGTGAAGAAGTAATAGACATACCTAGGGCGGATCCAGCTTTAGCGCCAGGGGGGAGTCATATAGTCGTGGTCAAGTCACAGTGGGTACAGATTGTGAAGTACAGATTGTAAAGTGGGTACAGATGGACCCAGCCCAGGGGGGCGTCATGAACCCCATGACACCCCCCCTGGATCCACCCTTGAGACATACACACTCACAAACTTTCGCCTTATAATAGTAATGTGATCATGATTTAAGCATGCACTAACCCTTCGTTTACACCAAGTTATTATAGGTACATTTATTTAACAAATTTTATACAATGTCTTAATTTTTTGTTCATACTTATACATCTATACATATAATAAAATGATAGAAAAGTCAAAATTGTTCATTGAATATTTTTTTAAAAGAATACTTGGGGTGTGATCTACAATCGACACCGAAGCCAAAAATATAGTTTCTAGAATTTTGGTCTGTTTGTCTGTATGTACGAGTATATCCGGGATAAACTCAAAAAGTACTGCATGGATTTACTTCAAATTGGAACGGGGGTCAAAAAGTATGTGCAAATAACTAACTCCACGCGTATGAAGTTGCGGGCGGGCGCAAGTACATCTATAAAACATTTAGTATACAATAATTAATTAATTAGCAAATTAGCGAATTAGCAAACTGAAGTGGCAGTGGGCTGGTCACATTAGCCGCAGAACTGAAGGCCGTTGGAGCCGGAAAGTTCTTGAGTGGAGACCACGACTCGGTAAACGTAGTGTAGGACGCCCTGAGACAAGATGGGATGATGACATTCGTAGGCGGGCTAGAGTAGGCTGGATGGATCGGTACCGGTTTAAAATTGGCAGAAAATCGGGAGCAGTGGCGTGCATTAGGGGAGACCTATGTCCAGCAGTGGACGAGCTTGAGTTGATGATAATATAATATACTAGCGGCCCGCCCTCGCTTCGCTTCGGTGTAGAGCTGAAGTGTAGACTACAGTTTTTGTTCTCAGGCTTGTATTATACACAATGACATTCATCTATGATTCTTTTTATA